TGTCTTTGTAACAGGGTCCCTGTTTTTCTCGTTATAATTACACAAAATTACCTGCAATTTTCTGCTTTGTATAGAGCACTTCAGGACTCCATCATGTTTTTATTTTGTAGTCTGCAGCCCCTTCTTCCTTTGTGTTCTTCTTCTTTGCTTATTTCTATATATTTGTTTAGCTCCCTCCTTTCTGACCTCTTCTCTGTGGGAGAATATCCATCCTTTTGTTTGTTGTATTATTTTATATTTATGTTCTCTTGTTGTCTTTTGCTGTTGGTGTATTGATTTGATTTTTAATGTCCTGTATATATTAGTCATAAGATCTAGCTTGCTGTGAACGGCATATAAAGCTAGTTTACGTGCGTGTGTACTGTAATTTTATTTAATTTGTGCAGGATCTGTTAAAATTAGGTCTTAAACTTTCAGACCTTGGGTGATCTATAAAAACAATCCTGATGGTAAAATGCATCACCTCTGTTCCATGTGTACATTCGGCAGGCAAGGGCGACACACGATGAGGTGGTGAAGCCAGATTGTGCATTCATTGGGGAGTGTGTCTGTGTTCCCTCAGATTATTACTTGCCTCATTTGCGCCATCTGCTTGTCCAGTAGGGTTTACATTTTTCAACCGGAGCAAATCATTTGCATGGTTTTGAGTCCAAATTTAAGGGATTGATTTGATGATTCGCTCTTGGTCTGAATGCAGCATAAAGGGCCTTTACATGGTAATTTCATGTCATGTGTTCACATCACTCTTGGTGTGTAAACATCTTAAGACCTCTTTCCTCCCTCTATGCAAGGGCTAGCCCTGATGCTGGGGGAACATCTGGATGATCCTGTACATTGTTAGCCTTCTAGTTAGCTTACATGTTAAGTTGTTAAAGGGGACATATTATCCCCCTCTCCACCTTTTCAAACAGTCCCCTGTGGTATAAATGAAACATCTGTGCTGTGCTTTGGTCAAAATATAACATGAATCAAGCACCAGAGGAGGTTTGTGACCCTGTATAAACCAACTCTCTCAGAACGCTCCGTTTTGGTGTGTGTGTCTCTTAAAATGGAATGAGCCACCCCCTGAGTTTTCCCGGTAGACATCTCTCCTTCGCAAGCAAGAATAAAAATGGTCGACCTGTGCAAAAGTTTTATTCTAGGCTGGCTTATTTTTTTACCAGAATCCCACTGTGACATCACAAGGAGAGCAAATTTGAAACAGAGCATTTTTCTCTGTGTAGTAAGACTTATGCAGACCACAAACAAAGGACTGGATGAGTTTATTTCACATTTTGTGGGTCAGTAGACACTCAGGCTACCCAGATATATGTTCAAAAACACTGTACAAGTGGATTTTTCATAATATGTCCCCTTTAAGGTACGAATGTTTCCTCTATTAAGCATCATAAGGAGTCAAAGTTGGGTTTCTGTTAGGTATGTAACCATCTCAAATTTCAAAAGTTCTGTCTCTAACACACTAACCCTGACATATAGAGTGGGTTAGGTCACTCCCTCCTACATCTAATTCTGGCTGCAAATGACAAATTTTCATCCTGATCAGAAACAAACCTAGAGCTTTTAGAGCTTCTGACACAGACTGAGGTCACAGCAGGCCAGTCCATCTCCTCTAACCTCGGCCCTTTAAAGCCAATATGCCCTCTTAGTCATACCCAGCTCTCGTCCTAATGATCCAGATTAGCCAACAGGCCTGGCACAGCGGCGGTAATGTAGGATCCCCGTCTATCCATTACAGTTCATGTTCTCTAGGAGACATAGGTAGCTGCTTCTGTAACAGCCCGTCTCTAACCCAGATAGAGACAGGTGAGAAATTAGATCAAAAACAGCACGCTACTCTCTCCCAGTGCAATCACACATAAGCATGTGTGCAGCTGCTTAATATGGGTGCAGGCTCTGAGTGTGTCTTATTCTCACTGGATTGTTTAAAATACCCAATTATCCTTGAGCCTCACGAGAGCTGACCCACACTGGCCTCATGTCCCTGGAGGGGGACAGGAAGTAGGTCTCATTATGACAAGGTGAGAAGGAGTTTCCTCCAGCGTGGCAGCATGTTTCTTCAGCAGGGCTGTGCAGGTCCAGAGGATGTCAAAGGTCAATGTGGAATCAACAGGAGGATGGTGGAGACAATGAATTCAGACATGAAATAACAGTGTAACAATTAGGGCTTTCACACAAAAATCTCCTGAAAAACTCCCAAAGGAGCAGATTTTTCAGTCGGACTTCACCTGGAGTTTCTCAGGCCATACCCCTAGTATTTTTTCTGCAGTAAGTCTGAGTGAGCTGATGTGAGAACGCAGCAGGATATTCTCCGGAGAATTCACCTCGAGCCTCAAACATTCTGCCCTTCACCCTTTCCTCTCTTCTCAAGTTTTTTTATAAAAATGCAAAAATCCAAACAAAGTAATGATTGAACAGCGGGTAAATGTTTGCCTCCATGATGAAGAAAATGACACCCAGCATCTGTCTAGTGACAGCCGATAAACCTCCAGAGGTAGAAGGTGAGAACGAAACAGGAAGGCCAAACAGGGTTCTTGTCCCTCAGCTGACCTTCATAGTTAGAGTCTTACATGAAGTCGTCTAATTTATCTGAATGATCTTCCAGGAAAATGATGTAAGACAAGGCAGGAGGAGGGGGGGAGGTTTAAATGTAGGTGTATGTGTTTGAGCTGTGGTACTGCTGCAGGCAACATTGTGGAAAACATTAACATCATGATTCATGAGATGCTCATGGTGGTTTGTGATTCATAAGTTAAACAGCTGAAGGAGACCATTAAAGCAAACGAGGTCAGAGACATAATGTTTCTGTCCTGTTCAGAGCGCCTCATCAAACGAGCTCTGTGGGGAGGGTTTCTTTTGGTGGACGCTTCAAAGCGATTATAACCCCTTTTTTTTTTTTTACATTTTCTGTCATTATGTTCAGATTGATATCATGTACTTATTAATAAACGATTTGCTTTATTTTAACTCAATGACATCAGAAGGGACAGTCGTTATTAACTGATGGCAGAGGCTGATGAGCAGAGTGGCCATTATAAGTAACTAATCCCATTCATACACATTCATACACAGAGCAACTTAGGGTTAAGTGTCTTGCCCATAACACATCGGACATGTGGCTGCAGGAACCGGGGATCCAACCCAAAACCTACCGGTTGAGAAATGACCAACTCTACCCGATCATGAGCCACAGCCGCCCAAATTGAGGAGGAAGTTGTTCCACTGATGAGCAGGTGTCAGAGGTAGGAACTGAGGCTTAACCAAGCAGCAACCTCCGGTGTTGAAAAATGAAGCCGATGATGAATTGCAAAATCCTGCAGTTCGAAGAGTGTCCACTAGAGGCTGGCTGCAGAAGCACAGGAAGTCACTTAATCGCCCATTCCAAAAAGCCTGTTTTAACAGCAGAAATTAAAATGTTTACAGCCTGGTACTAAAAACAAAACGGGTCTGATTAGTTATTGTCATCACTGGCACACACTGTACCGGGGTTTTTTAAACGGCTCCGTTTTGATTTTATGAACGATACATGTTATCCATAGTTAGGTGATTGACAGTGGAGTTAGAGATAGCAGCTTAATTTTGATGTAAAAGATTTTTGCTCCGACCAAAATCATGAAATGTCTTACCTCTACAAAGCATCACCTGTTTTAGCATTACAGTTCGGCTCAGTCCCATTTCTAATCTTTACCCCTTCCCATTTCATGTGCCCCCTTTCTCCTGTGTGGTAGTGGGGAAATCTCCCCCCTATGACATGGGGCGACCCTTCAAGAACCTGACAGAATCTCCTTTCATTGGGCAGTGCAGCCCCTAACACTTCATCCTACCCTTCCCCTTCAACAAGAATGGGGACAGCCTACCCCTAGATGAGAACACAGCAAACAGAGTGGGAGGAGTGAGGTGTATATTTGGGACTGCGCTTGCCTTCTTGTTATCGCTCGGCCTTCACTGCTGCTTCTTTTCACCTTGATGAAATGAGAGCTCTGGGCTCCTGGGTTGAAAAGGAAGCAGGAGACCAAGGAGAGGGAGGGGGCAGGAGCAAGGGGGAGGAGGAGGAGGAAGGGAGGGGAGGTAAGAGAGCTGACTCACCTCTCGGTGTGGGGGCTTTTGCTGGCGCAGGGGGAGGGTTCTGAATCATCTGGAGACCTTATTGAATATTTCCTGCAGTTGATGTCATTATCGGCCCGGTGATCATCGCTGCCATCATCAGCGCTGTCCCTGAAACTCCACATCACTAGCAGGGGCGAGGTAGAGGGGGAGGCAGAGAAGAAGAGAGGGAGCTTTGGGGGGGCTTTGACGTGAAACACATCGTACATGCAGTGAATAAACAGAAGAAATACTAACCTTCGGCTTGGACAAATGGAGTTGAAGCGGGGAGGATCTATGTCGTTGATATGTTTGTAATACATCATGAGATGATTATTTAGAGGTAAGAGAGAGAGGAACTGTTGTTGGAGAGCTGAGTACAGTTCCTGCAGGTGGTGCGTGTGTGGGCTCTAATCCATGCAGACCAACTGATCAATAAGTTATCCGCTGCAGCACACACTAGGTGCTGTAGTACGCGAAATCTGGCTTGGTCCTGAGTCCACTTTTTGAAGGTCTCGGTTTGCGTCTCGGAATCAAAAGCATTTTAGCTCAGTATTGTCTCGGTCTCAGACTGGGTGGACTCCAGATTTTAAATCAAGACTGGTCAAGACCACCAACAGCGTGATATTCCCATGTCATCACAAGAAGGAAGAGCTTCAATTGTAGTTTGATTTTTATCCCCCGGTCACAGCCGCAACCCTTCTGGTGTTACGGTCTAAGTGAGTGACACGCCCCCCTAAACACAAGATGATTTTTCAGAGTTATTTATGGTCTTGTCTCGGTCTCCCCCAACCTTGGTCTCGGTGTCGATCTCTAAATGTCTTGGTCTTGTCTCGGTCTAGGAGCACTCTGGTCTCGGTTAGTGTTGTCTTGACTCGGTGCAACCTCCTCATAAAAAATACACGACAGAAGACGTTCAGTAATTTCTATTTTTTATTAGAAATGGATCACATTTCAACCCGAGTCCTTTATATATTTATCTTTTGTAACCTTCAATGTGCCATGCATACAAAATCAGAATCAAAGTGTCTGTCTGTTAGTGCCCAATAAAGTTGTTTTTTTTATATATATATTTGTAAGGGGTTGATATCAAAGTCTTTCTCCTGTGCAATTATTATTCACAGATATGTACATTCAAATTAGTCAGCCTCGAATATCAAGCGTCCTCGCAGCAACAGAAAAGAGCAACCGACATTAAAAGTAAAAAGTTACAAAACAACCTCAAAGGAAACAATATAATTCTCTTTTTAAAATAGAATTAATCACTATTCGGCTAACATGAGTTAAATTATGATTGCTTCATTTTTAACCGTAGGCACGTGGTAGATAGGTGAGGCGAGGCCGTGTGCTCCTCCTCCTCTCTCCTCACTGCAGCTGATGCTTGTGTAAACAAAACCCGCCGAGCTTTTTCTGCGGCCCGCTTTAAGAGACCGCCTCGCGAAAAAAATTAAAACAAAAACATGACAAATTAAAATGACACAAACAGAGCGGATGTTTAAAGGTTCCCTCTGCTCCGGGTCGCTTCTTTCTGACACGTGATGGATGGAGATGGCGCTCTTCCAGGAGCTGCGTCTGCGACGTCTCATGGCTCACAATGATTGGTTTCTTTGGTATAAACGACCACGACTTCCTTTCAAAATAAAACCACCTCAAAACCTGAAAATTAAAACTGGAAAACAAAGTCCATCTGAACTCCCTCTGTCTTTGATTCGTCACAAAACACCACATGGTTCCTTTTTTTTTGTATGTGAAGGTGAATTAGTGCCGTCGCCGTGGCAAAAATGTGATGCGATTGAACGCCACGTTAAACACCGAGAGAAGCACGCCATCGATTACTCGTGTAGTTACAGAAGATGAGGTATTACACACGTCTGTGTGTGTGGCCTGTGATTAGTGGGGTGTCTATTTTACAGTCTCGTGTTTGTTTGTCAGCACAGCGATCGGTAACAATGGCGGTCGTGTCTAGAAGTGGCGTGAGGAGAAAAGGTGTGAGCAGCTCGCTCTTCACGGCTGTAAAATAAAGACGATGATGCTCGTGAAGAGCTGAACCCGATCAAACTTTAGATAAGAATAAATAACTTAATGGATAAAACTGAAGGCCTTTAAGGGGTTAACGGTTTCTCCCCCGTCCTTTTTTTTTTTTTTTTTGCTGTTTTCATTTTCATGAACGTCTTTTGACATCATTCGTTCCTTCACTAGTGAGCGAGTGAAAATACTTCAACATGTCGGCAGAACAACCTTTAAAGGAATGCGTTGCGATAGTCGATTATCACAGTTTGCAGACTATGGCTATTATTGGCTTTACGTTGATCCTGTGCAGCCTGATCAAACTGTCAGCAGGTATCGAGTGTTTGGGGGGGGGGGGGTGTTAAGCGTGCATTACACGTGTCATCAAGACAGATTTATGTTTAGGATATCTGTGATTATCTATCCTTCAAGGAGAGCTCTGAAAAAAAAAACATCTTCTACTTCTGCTGTCGGAGAGGAACGACGGAAGGTGGGTCGGAAGGAAGGGAGGGAGGAAGGAGGGAGGAAGGAGGGAGGAGGGAGGGAGGGGGTTGAATGAGCTAGTAGGTCAGTACCTTTTCTCCGTGGTGACTAATGAGCCTCCACTGTCCCGGACAGTATTTTTAGGATGCTCTACATGTCCGCTGAGACCTGCGAGTCGCCAAGGTGACCTGTTTTCACCGTGATCAACTATGTAACCCAGAGAGGCTGCTGCTGTTCACGAGGAAGAAAGGCAGGACAGAATGAAAAGAACAAACCCCCCCCCCCCTTGAAGGTCGCTAATTTGGCACACGGCATGTCCTTTAGCACGGCATCTTCAAGTAAAAACTTATAATAACAAATAAAAGAAAAAAAGAAAAGGAGACCCCGCAGCTGTTCCTGTTACTGTTCCAGTGAATGCACATGCTGATATACCGGATTCACCTAAGGCAAAAAGGATTGTGAGTAAGTGTGGAAAGTGCTCCTTCAGTGTAATCCACCACAGCTCCAGAGTCCGGAGACCTGCAGAGAGTTACAGGTGTAGAGGATGGAGGTGGAGGTGGAGGTGGGCGCCCCCCCACCTCTCCACAGCTCCTTCAAAGTGATCCAGCCGAGTCAGGATGCATCCCCCCACCCCACCCCCCTCCCTCCCCCTCCGCCTACGTCTCCCTGTGGCTCCCTCAAGGAGACACGTTGAGGAGCTTGGTAGATTTATTGGGGTAATTGATGGCCAGGCTGATGGCGGCGATGTTCTTCAGAGCCTGCACGATAAAAAGGAGGTGAATGAATCACAGGAAAGAGGAGAAACCTCGTTTTTCACACGCGCTCTGCAGGGCACGATAAGTCGTGAAATATAGACACATTAAATACGACTCCTCTTGTTTTGCATAGACTTTCTGTACAAGATTTCAAAATAAGAGCGCTTAAAATATTGACCTGCCTCTGTTTTTTGTTCTCTCTCAGACTTAACTGATAACTGGAGGCTGTTTCTCTCCGCCTCGCTGCGGAGCACATCACTACTGACAGGAGTTTAAATTCAATCTGTTATCTCCTCCAGCAGGACGCTGGTGCTTTGATTTGAGTGTCTCTTGTTTTTGATGAATGTCGTTCAGAAATCAGTTTGATCAAAACTTTGATCCAAGATCATTTATCTCGAAGTTCCCATCCTGACTTTTGAAAGTTGAAATATTCTTATTCTTCTTCCAACATGTTGTGCATTCAAATATTTTTTAACATGATTGTAAATAAACAATAACGTGTTTGGAAGTAGGACGTGCATGATAGGAGGGCCTGCACTATTTAATGAGGTAGCATCCTGATGCTTCTAGAGCATCGAGTGTGACCCTCTGAACGTGTTTTTTTATTCTGGGTGACTCCTTCAAAGCGAGCGTCAGCTTCTTCGGTCTTTGACTTTACATCAGTGTTGTCGTAATCATTATGACTACTGCCGAGCCACCGATGGTTTGGTTTCAGCCTGACAGGTATTAGATAACCACTCGACAGAACCACCTACAGTGTTTTTATTTTTTCACGACCCCCGCATCCTCTGCTGCTCTCAGCTGCCTTCAGGCTCCTCTGACGTGTTCAGGGGTCCGCGGTGCAGCAGAGAGCGCTGCGGCTCGCTCGGCCGCAAATGCTAATGGACTGTAATTATCAAATACATTAGTCCTGAGTGAGTCCCACACACACTCCAAACAAAAGGAGGGGGGGCTGCTGAGGGATCTGCTGGGTGTCAACAGCTTTATGATTCACAAGCGAAAAGGGACTTCAGCCTGCGGGTGACTCACAGAGCGCTCGGCTAACCAGACGGTCGGTTTCAGAATCACGGTTGTGTAATATTACTTGAGGGTGCACGCACAAATTCTGTGAGACGACATCATCTACGTTTGGCAGGAAAACTTTAAAGATGGAATGAGAGGGCCCGGCAGGAGGTAAGACTGTGGATTGAGGAAGGCAGAGATGAAATGTATGGATGGTTAATTGAAGTCTTACCATTGCTGTGTGGTTGAGGAGCTGCTCGTCAGTGGTCATGGCTAACAGGTACTCCTGGAGGATCCCCTGAGACTGAACAAACACAACGACAGCCTGTTTACAATGTGTCTGCAAACACGATAAATCATTCAATAAAACGAGTATGAGGGGAAATAATGATGCAGCATAGCATGGCAGTATGCAATATTTAAAAAGGTGAAATATTGAACCTGTACATATTTAAATTGAATACTTTAGTGCTCTCAAACTTTGCACAACACTCCTGAATAACTCCTGAAGTTTCCAGGCGGAGCTGTATGTGTAAATGCAAACAGCCAAATGTTTTGTCCGGACTTCACTCTGAGTTTCTCCTCCAGCCTCCTCGTATTTATTCTGCAGAAAGTCAGAGTGAGCTGATGTGAGAACGCAGCAGGATATAATCAGGAGAATTCACCTGGAGCGAGTGGGAGGGGGTGGTGACGTTTATTCCCTGTGATCGCTGCACGACCATAGACTGTCTGCACGCCACCTCTACCATCTCTGTGCTCTAATGAACCTGCTGCATTATGTTTCCTGTTCTCCAGTATGTTCTTCTCCACTCTTTAGTTCATGTTGTGATTCTGTTCAACTACATGTAGCATTGATAGAAAGACACGTATTCTCATTATAATGTTGTATAGAGGACTTTGATGCTTCAATGTCGTTCTTTTTTTCGACACATCCTGCCTCAGGAGATAAAAATAACTCTGAAAGAATGAACAGACTTTTTATGAAACAAAAACAGACGGTAAAGGTCTTTGGGGATACAATTTTTACGTCGTAAGTGTGAAAAATGTAATGTGATATTTAAAGGAGCAATATGTAACTCTGACCCCTCTTGTTTAAAATGCGTACTGCAGTCCACATTCAAATCATTATAGAGAGCTGTCTCCCCCCGCCCCCTCCTCTCTAGAGTCGATGCTCACACAGGTTGTGGTGGACACTGAAGCTTCAGTGTTTATCCAGCTCTGCATCGGTCTGTAAACCTTTCTGTGTTCTAACCTCTCTCCATTTTTCAAAATCATCTCCAATATTGATCCTAGTTTGAGCACGTTTCTGCTCGTGGAGCTTATTAGAAACATGCAGAGGCTTTTTAGGTCGGGTACAATCACTTCTATCTGAACCACTTCTCTTGCCCGCTTCCATCGCTGCAACACCTGTTGACCTGATAACTGCTCTCATATCTGTCAAACCGAGGGGCATCCAAAACGTCTGTGTGGGGGTGCCTTAAAACCGCCTACCTTCTCTGGTCCAAACAAATCCAGAGCATTCAGGAGCAGAATCTAAAGTTAGAAGGAGGACATACTGGCTGCTGCATTGTTGTCAGAGAAGCCAGCACTTCAACATAGCATGTTTCCTTAATGTCTGATCATATAGTAAGGTCACTTTATCTGTCAATACATATTATCGTATTGTAACTGGTTTAGCTGGTTCCCAGACCCTCTCCCCCCTTCATCTCCTTCTCAGCATGATGAGTTTGATAAAGTCTCTCAAAATTCTAAACAATCTCTGGAGCTCTTCCACTAAAGCCCCACGAGACAGACGTCCCCCGGGTTATATCAGCATGCAGAGTCAGAGAGCACAGATAAGACTACAGAGCAGCTGAGGCCGAGTCTACAGGACAGGAGACACAATCCAGATCCCTGCTCCTCCATTCATCCCGCTGCACCCTGACTGTTTATGCCGGGGAACATCCTAGGACCATTTGTACAGTCAGTAGTCGTGCACGACATGCTGTTTTGATTCCTAAATATAACTTTCACTTCCTGGGTAGAGAGTTCGTCGAGTCTCAGAGGAGCTGGCGGAGGACTGAGTCTGGAATGTGAACCGCACTGGAGCCCCTGAAACTTTTAAAACGAGCCACTACTGGGTTCAGACCTAATATGGCCAGAAAGGACTCCGAGAAGTTGGCTGTATGTCATCACTGCAGTTACACCACTCGTAAGTCAATGTGACATGACGGCCACCGACCTCAGTCCACACTGATCTGCACGTTTAGGAAGCCCGGGGACTGATGGAGCAGGAGGCTGTAGGTAGAGATCTGATCCTTACAGCTGGTGCATGTTTACTAAAATTCAGGTCCATATCAGGGGGGGTGGTATTTGTGCTGCTATGACAGAGGATAGAGCTGGACATTGGGGGAGAGAGAGAGAGAGAGTGGGGAGTGACAGGCGGGAAAGGAGCCACAGGCTGCACTTGTACCTGGGCTGTGGAGGACTAGTCATAGATTTCAGTCATGTGACCGCCGTGGAGGTTTGGAGGGCAAAAAGAGTTTAGAAAAGTGGCATCCATCTTTGAACACTGTGTAGCTGCAGCACTGGCTTTTACATTTTCCATCTCTTCAAAACGACGCATGTTTACATCACCTGACAACCGCAGGAAAAATAGAGATACTAAGACGGCCTTATACAGCACACTGACACTAGTTCAATCGCTACAAAAGTCCTCTCCAGAGCTGTCAGTGTGATCGCTGTCATGATTTAATGAAGGTTCAACTGACAGCGAGTTCTTTTATTATACGTTGAACAACATCCTGAAACAAATGCAACACCACCCAACAGCTCGTGTGACAGCGGGCGCAGAGTGAGCAGGTGTGTGTTTTTCCTCCACAATCATCAAGCTATACTAAATAAACTGCCTTCTTATTCATCATGTCTACTCACTCCTCAAACTCTCAGTAGCTGTAACTTTTGGTCCGATGGACACTTGATATACATCAGTCCTTGAACTTTCTCTGTCTTTGGTTAAAGTGTTTTTTTTAGGTTCTAAGCTTTAGAGAGGGACTATCACACCTCACCTCATGAGCTTTGGGAAGTGACCGACAGAATAAGATTGAAAATGAGTTTCCTCCGGAGGGTGTCTGGGCTCAGCCTTAGAGACACGGCGAGGAGCTCGGACATGCAGCCGGAGCTCGGAGTAGAGCCGCTGCTCCTTCGCATCGAAAGGAGTCAGCTGAGGTGGTTCGGGCTTCTGATTAGCATGCCTACTAGAAGCGTCCCTCTGGAGGTCTTTCGGGCACATCCAAATGGGAGGAAACCCCGGGGTAGACCCAGAGCTTGCTGGAGGGATTGTATAGCTCTTCCAGGCCTGGGAACACCTCGGGATCCCCCAGGGGGAAATGGAAAACATTGATGGGGAGGGGGAAGTCTGGGGCAACTTGCTTAGCCTGCTGGCCCCGAATAAGGGGAAGATAATCGATGGATGGATGTTCTTTTATGTTCTTTATTTATTGTTTATGCTGTCGTCTGGGCCAGGACTCCCGTGTAAATACGTCTCTGGTAAAAATAAAGGTTAAGAACAATGTGACTGGAGATTTCTGGCACATCATCAATCGGGGAAGTGAATGTGACAAGAACAAGAACGAGGTGTTCCCTCGAGCAAAAACACTCCGAACAACCAGTAAGTTAACCTCTCCTACGACTTCAGTCTCTAACTGCTTCAACGTATGGATGAGGAGCAGGAGGGGACAAACCACTGCACACACACACTTATACACACACCTGTCATGTTGAGAAGAGTCAAACAACCGTCGTGTGTCCCTCATTGATAACACTGGACTGTCCACAAAGAGCACTCAAGATAAACTGCAGCATACTGCTACTGCCCCCTGCTGTTTGTCCGACAAACTTGCTTCCCTGAGCCTCTCCTCCTCCCTCACAAATAAAAACAACATCCAGTCTGAGCAGATGGGAGCCCAGAATCCATCCCGGATGACGAGTCGACTGATGTAATTTTATTGTCAGACCTGCGGCCTCGGGGCTGCAGCAAGCAGACCTGAAGGGAGTGGGGGGAGGGGGGAAACGCTGCTTTTCTGGAACTGTCTGGTTCGATTGCATCTGCAGATGGGAACCTCCTGGCTGACGGCACAAGACTTCTCTTAATCAATAATGCAAGACAATCCAGAGAGAGAGAGACAGAGAGAGAGAGAGAGAGAGAGAGACAGAGAGACAGAGAGAGAGAGAGACAGAGAGACAGAGAGAGAGAGACAGAGACAGAGACAGAGAGAGAGAGAGACAGAGAGACAGAGAGAGAGACAGAGAGAGAGACAGAGACAGAGACAGAGAGAGAGAGAGAGAGAGAGAGACAGAGAGACAGAGAGAGAGACAGAGACAGAGAGAGAGAGAGAGAGAGAGAGAGAGAGAGAGACAGAGAGACAGAGAGACAGAGAGAGAGACAGAGACAGAGACAGAGAGAGAGAGAGAGAGAGAGAGAGACAGAGAGACAGAGACAGAGACAGAGAGAGAGAGAGAGAGAGAGAGAGAGAGAGAGAGAGAGACAGAGAGAGAGACAGAGACAGAGACAGAGACAGAGAGAGAGAGAGAGAGAGAGAGAGAGAGAGAGAGAGAGAGAGAGAGAGAGAGAGAGGCCATCCATTTTGTGATGTGATGGTCTCTTCTCTCTCTCTCTCTCTCTCTCTTCTCTCTCTCTTCTCTCTCTCTCTCTCTGGCAGTCTGCTGGGAGCCGGTGTGGCAGTCTGGCAGATGGAAAGGACATTCTTTGGCCCCGAGCCCGGCACAGAGAACAGGTGGGAGGAGGAAAAACATGCTCATCTCACAGAGAGATGGATAAAGACAGAGATGGGTAAGGACAAAAGGTAAAGAATAAATGTTAAGATAATTTCCTCAACGATTTATTCAAATAGCCTCATTCTGAGAACCTCCGCTGTATATTTTATCCACAGAGTCTATAAAACTGTCATCATAGCAAAATGACAACCGACACACCTGAACAAATACCTCAAATGTCAGGTAGTCATGCCTCCAGCTGTAGCAACACACACCTATATATAATTAGATAACTCACTAAGCCTGCATAAGTGTGAGTGTGTGTGTGTGTGTGTGTGTGTGTGTGTGTGTGTGTGTGTGTGTGTGTGTGTGTGTGTGTGTGTGTGTGTGTGTGTGTGTGTGTGTGTGTGAGTGTGTGTGTGTGTGTGAGTGTGTGTGTGTGTGTCACTCACGATGGCCCGGGCCTCTGCGATGAAGAAGAGTTCAGTGAGGGCTCGGTGCAGAGGCAGCAGAACAGTGATACTGGTGGGATCCTGGCTCAGGCTGTTTTCCATGGTCATGAAGAGCTGCCACAGAGGTCGCAGCAGCGTCAGCTCACAGGCGCTGGGGGCGAACACAGTTTGATAATGAGACCAGAATCACAAGTGCACAAGAGAAAAGCCACCAGAAGCAATTAAAAGAATCAAAATGTATGCATTTATCATCATATCATAGAGAATTCATCCCAAAAGATACCAAAAAGACTAAATGTTTTTAAAGGTCACATATTCTCCTTTTCAAAAAGTGTAAATAAGTCTCAGAGCTCCCCAAAACATGTCTGTGAAGTTACTTGTTCTAAATCCACTCTGATTCTGTATTTGATCATGTCTATAAACCCCTCTATTTCAGCCCTGCTCAGAACAGACTGTTTCTGTGTCTGTACCTTTAAATGTTAATAAGCTGTGTCTGACCACGCCCCCTCTCTGGAAGGGCTTGGGTGTACTCAGGCTTTCTCGCTCCATGTCCTATTGTTTACGGTGAGAAGGCAGACTCAGAGGGCAGAACAGGTTGAGTATTGATAAAACAAGCCTCCATGTCTTTGTGACCCGACGGTGGCCGAGTCCGTCTACATATGTAAACTCCTGAACACATCCTTCACCTCACATCCGTGGTGACGTCTGTCAAGGCTTTTATGCAAACCCTGTGTGGAGGTCAAATCCTGCACCACAAGGAAATGACACTGCTGGCTGCTCTCAGCAATAGCTGGTCCTTTACCTTTCAGTTTTTATACATGACTAAGTAACGGAGTAGTTAAATGATTTCACTGGTGACCAAAACAAGGATGCACCATTGATGAGCAATGTGGAAGAGAAGAGATAAAAATCTTTGAACAAGGTGAAACTCTTACGTCGTGGACTGACACTGCAGGAGGCGGAGCAACAAGTGGATGGCTTTGAGACGCTGGTTCCCAGTCTGACGACAGGCCACGCCCACCTGCCACTCCCAGATGTCGGCGAGTGGAAGGTGACTGAGCACTTGTTCATCTGCTAACATTTGCTTCAGTATCTCAAAGCCTGGGGAGAGACAATGGACAGTACTGAGAGGGTGAACACCTTGAAGTTAATCTGTATTCACAGTTTCGACTCTCTGGCCAATAAAAAATGACAAAAACCAGAAAGTCCAAACACTCTAGTTTGCAGTGTACCTGTCTGGAAGCGTCCTCGGTGGCCTCCTGTGACAGTGAACTTGTAGCCCCACTCTGTGTTGCTCATGTCTGACATGAATCTGTAGTACAGGGTGTCACCTAAGAGAAAGCAGCGTTTACATCACATTGATGAACATGATTCAAACATAATAAAAGGAAGGAGGGGAAAAAAAAACCCATTAGGTGCAGAAGAGGAACACATGAATCACCTGGAATCTCAAAATCGGACCATTTCTGAGGAGAGCCGCTGAAGTTGTGGACGTCCTGCAGGAAATCGCTGCTGCTGGACATGATGAGCTCGTCGCAGCCTTCCTCTGTGTAGCAGCGAGAGTCAAACTTCACAGAGAGGTAGATCGCCCCGGGGATGTGCACCTTGTCCTGAAGAGGTGAAAATAAAACTGTCTTTAAACTGACTTGAAAAAAGGACACAGTAAAAGGAGTAAATGAAGAGTTTATGCTACAAGAAAATAATGACACATGCTCTGTGTATACATATGGATGCATACTAAACAGTTATGTCTGGAATTAAAGCAGCTGATTCCAAAAGTAAAAATAACACTCAGTGTACCCACCTCAAAGTTGGTGTTGTTGTCGTACGGGTGTTTGGACTCTCGGATCTGCACGGCCATACCCGGCTCCTCCATGAACTGGCAGGCAGTGAGAGACAGACTGCACAGCATGCTCTGACTGCAGCCCTTCAGCACCCTCTTCAGAATCTGATCATTCATTGATAAAAAAAGAAGATTGTTTATCTACAAAGCTTCCGAGCTGAGATCTCCATTACTGATGTAAACACAACATTTAGAGCGTACTGCCCACCTTCTCCCACAGCGGCCTCTCCTCCAGCTGCATCAGCATGTCCAGGATGTAGGCCATGTGCGACGCCCCGTTCAGCTCCAGCGCCTCTTCGCTCAGCGCTGCCTCTGCAGGCCAGTCGGCCAGCAGCGAGGCCAGCACGTGGCGGGCGTACAGCGTGGCGATGGCCTGGTTCACCTTCACCAGGTATTGACGAACTGCCCGATTGCTGCGCACGTCCAGCTCTTTGTGCAGCAGGGCCGAACTCTTCGTGCGCCTCTGTTTGGCGTAGCTGAGCTGTAGGTCGCTCTCGGAGTTGGTGATGAGCTTCTGGGCCACGACGTTGACCTCTTCTGTGGCCTTTTCACAGTGACTGGGTTTAGACTGGGGGAGGATGAGGGTTCATCAGGAAACTTACACAAGCATCTTATCGTTACTTTTTATAGTGAGTAATATTTTCTAAGTCGTCTAATCATTCTTGTTCCAGTGCAGGTTCTCAAACTCACCACACATGACACAACAATCATGTCCGTGTCCACAGCCTTGGTGTTCCTCTCCTCAGAGCGAGGCCGTCTGGTAGCTTGCCACTTCTGAGCCAGCGTGCGGATTGTCTCGTCTGTTTTGATCTCTTCTCCATCAAATCTGAAAAAAAACACACAAAAAAAAAGCAACGCAGAGAGGCGGTATTAGATGACCTTTACGTGGGTGGATTGTATAAAGAAAGTTCAAATCTAAAGGAAATGAAGAATGTCTGACCTTTTCTGCACCTCCAGGAAGAAAGAGTCTGTTCTCTTCATCTGCAGCTCGTACATGGCTCGCAGGATGGGCAGAGGGGCGTTTAAGGCATCGTGGGTGATCTGAAATGAAGAGACAAAGATTGAAGACTACCAAATCCAACTTTTTTTTATTTGCTGCATGGATTATAAACTGCATCCCTCATCACCTGGAAGCAAATCTTCGTCTCCTCATCGAGACCCTCTAACGGGTCGGGTCTGTTGACGTCCGTCTCGTCAGCGCAGCAGCTGGAGTGGTCCGAGTCATGCTCCTTGTCCTGCTCCCTTTGGTCTCGCTCGGGGTCCTGGGCCATGGAGTGGATCTCCCTCTTGGAGGAGTAGAGCATGATGGAGAGGATCTCCAGATCTCGCAGCAGCCACAGCTTGCTGAAGCCCGTCCCTTTGCTGCACTTCCTCACCAGCAGCTGGGTGAGTCCCGACTGCTGGATGTCCTCCTGAGCTTGGTCTACTCCATGTTTCTACATGACAGATCACAACTGAGTCAAAACCCTTTCACACATGCCGGGTAAAGTCAGGCTCTATTCAGACTGTCTTTAGAGCAGAAAAAATTCAGAATGTACAAAGACGTGATGACAACTGAGCTTAGTTAAGACCCTTTTGTGGAAATGTAGTTTGAACAGGACTAATGTGTGACGCAGCAGGTAAAAGGTTACCTATCTGTTTATGTATCAGTTCAATACTCAGTCAATTGCAAAATGTTTAAAGTCAAATAATATCTTTTGACTGAAGTATGTTGTGGTGACATCGTGTTTTCAGGTCTCTGGTACCTTGAGGGTGTTGTAGAGTCCTTTCAAAGCCAGGGAGAGAACCCAGGATGCCTCCACAGCGTCAGGCGAGCCGTTGTCCTGGCTGGTCTGTAGCAGGTGGCTGATGATGGAGGTGAAGTTGCTCAGGTAGCGGCTGAGCAGCGTCTTTGGGCGGCCCTGGCCCTCGGACTGCTCTGGTAGACCAGCTGTAGTGGAGTCCTGGGACTGGATGAGTTGGTAGTCCTTCACTAGAAAGAGGAAACAACCAACAGAGGGTTTGATTTTTGTTTCTTTGGGCTTTTGCATTTGATTTGACAGGACAGCTGGACACAAATATGAGGAGAGACAGAAGAGGTTTCTAAACACTGGCAGAGCTGTACGAAGTGCCACTAACCTGTTTTCCTCTTGCGGGTCTTAACGTCCACCACAGCAGCGTGGTTCTTCTCTGTGAAGTGTTTGAGCAGGATCATGTTGTGCTGCTCATTGGCGTTGTCGATAAACACCGTCTGGGTGCCCACACACAGCACCTGACACACACACACAGAGGAGTCACAAAGGTGTTTAGAGAAAGTGAGGGAACTCAAGAGGACCACACTTTACAGAGTCCAGGGGACCGCCTACCTCTGGGAAGCCCACCAGCACCAGCAGGGTGAAGAGGTTGGTGCGCTTGAGTGTTTGTGGAAGCTGCTGAATACAATGGTCAGTGAAAGCAGCGATGACAGTGCTCCACTCGGGACACACATTCAGACTGTGCAAAACGTCTGCCACCGTGCACGCCCAGTCCAGACCAATACGACTAGTGAACCAAGAAAAGAAGAGAGGTCACCTCAGTGGTTATTAACGGCATGCAGACAACGATGTCAAAGGTAGTAGCGCTGTGTGTAAAGAGATCTCATCAGTGTGGAGATGATGACTCCTCTCACCTGTCTAAACAGACCGCCCCCAGACTGAAAAGCAGCTGTGTGGTCTTCCAGCCCTGGGTGTCTAAGCTGGCCGCCTCTCCCTGTGTCAGCAGCTCGTATTTGTCAGCCAGAGCCTCTGTGACAGCGGTGTCGGCCTCAGTCGGAGAGATCCTGAGCAGCAGCTGACCCAGCAGCCCCAGAGTGAGGTGGAAGGTCTCGTTCAGAGATCCGGCGTTGGAGATGACGGCTCTGAAAAGCTGGGGCAGGATGGAGTTCAGACTGGGCAGGGACAGGGTGCAGCCCTGAGGACACAAAGGAGACAGTGATCATTTTATATTTTCATGTTACCTGTGGAGAAACGTCAATTTAGAGTCTGAATTGGGAAACATTTCAGGAATAGGATACGTTATGCTACGACAAAGCTTCAGTAGATTTGAGTGTTTGTGTTTGATGTGTACATTGAAGATTGGCACCACTCCGTTTGTTCTATGAACATACATCTAGAGCTAGCACGCAGCTAGCTTAGGTTAGCATAAAAACTGCTGGAGAAAGCTAGCTTGGCACGTCTTCCTTGTGTTCGAGATGGTTTGTTAAATCTGTGCAAAAACCAAAGTTAAAAATAATACTGACAATCTAACTCTTCATGATATATTTGATTTGTGAGGAGTTTAGTGTGAAATAATTTCTTGGCTGGCAGCAGTGATTTGAAGAACGTTAACGTCCAGCTGAACTTTTTCTGAAGCCTTCTGGAATCTCTAAGAGCAGTTTTGTGTCTCTGCTTGTGTTTGTAGTCATGTTTTATTTATATTGCTAAGTTCCTTGGACAGAGCTCCCTTGATATATGAGATCTAATCTCACTGGGACTCTCCTTGTTAAACGAGGTATAAGAATGAAAATCTTATCTGTGACGTACTGGTTTTGCTGGTGGCAGCATGGCAGCCAGTAGACCCAGGATCCTCTCTCGGGAGCACTCTGAGAAAACGTGCTCCTGAAGGGGGACCTGCGGCAGCCTCTCGTCCGTCTCCTTTACAACGTCACATGTCGGAGAGTTGACTGCTCCCGGTCCAGACTCTGAGGCTGAGAACATTTCAGAACATGCAGCGTGTAGTCAGTGATAGAAAAACAGAGATCAAATCAGCCTGGTGGACTCATACTCAACACTCACTTCGGACCACAGGGGAGAGGGGGTCGTCACTGGACACCGAGGGGGTCTGGCTGAGGCTAGGGGAGTCCAGGGTGTCTTGGATGACCAGCTTCATTTTGTCCCGCTCTCCAGTGCTTGGAGGGGAGGACACCTCAGGAGGAGCAGTGGGAGGAGAGCCCACCTCCTTTGGGTTTTTCTCCTTACTGGACGGTTTGCTCTAGAGGTGAGAGGATGAAACCATTCAGTTTGTTTACAGGCCAAGAGCATGGGGTTTAAATTGACATTCAGTATGTATTACCTACTGATTTTGTACATTAATTACATGCAAAGAAAATTCAGTGAATCCAATAATCTGTCGACCTAAAGTGCCGTCTTTGCCCTCAGTTCCTCACCTTGTCCTTTGGAGACGTTGGGGAGCAGATGGCTGCGGTGGATCCAGGCAGAGAGGAGGTGTCAGTGGCCGTGCTGAGCTCCTGAGAGGACTCTGGTGAGACTGGACACAGCTCACTGTCAGAAGACGAGTCATTGGACGACAGCAGGGCGAGCAAGGCAGAGGAACGCAGACCTTCATGGAGGAAAGAACAGAAACGTTTGTTCCATCTCTTTTTTTTACAGATTCTACATGAAGATCTCGTATCTGTTCTCGGGGGATCTGGATTCTCTCTCTGAATCTTATGTTGCACACTTACCCCCCTGTAGGTGTCTGTCTATCTGTTTAGCAAACGTAAAGTAGCCTTAAAGGCAGGGTTGGTCATTTTCGAAAACTAGCAGGATTTTGAAAGCAGCATTCCCTCAGTGCTCCGTCTGCACCCCCTCCCATCTGTGCCACCTCAAAAGCCACGCCCCTCACTTACATGCAAGAAGCGGAACCTCAGCTCATGCTTTGAATGTGGGCTCGTGCACACATGGGGTAGAGAGCAAGCAGGGAGACAGGGAGGCTGTGATTGGTTCATCAGATTGGTACCTCGTGGCAGACATTGGTCAAAGTTTTTACAGGCTTACAGCTGCTACAGATGACGGATTTTCTTCGTTCTTTTTTTCAGAGCACATGAATTATAAATTTCTGTCAGGACCTAAAGACAATTTCAACCAAAATCTTAAAAAATGAATCCGGAGAAAATTACCAACCCTGCCTTTAAGTATGTTATTATCTTTGCTAAGACTGAAGATAGGGTGGACATTTATCTGAGCTTTTTCAAAACCAGCCTCCCTACAGCTCACTTACAAACAAACAATTGTGTCTCTTTTATTTAATGTGTAAAATTGGAGTCTTGTCATCCTCATGGTTTGCAGTTTAGTTCTTTGTTTTTGTACAGATCCAGACTTGTTTGTCTCTGCTTCCAGCTGCTGGCTCTACCTTCATATTTAGCACACATATGTGATGGTTTTATCGATCTTCCTAATCTCAACAGGTAGTCTAAACATAGATCTTTAAACACAGAACACTACTCTGAACTGACCTTTGCCGGGCTGGCCCTTGAGCAGGCAGTCGGGTGATGAGCTGGGAGCAGCAGGTCTGCAGCGCTGACGCCTGGCTCAGGTGGTTGTTGTCCAAAGTCTCTCCCTCCGTCTGCTTCTGGCTGCTCAGCTCTGACGTGTAGAGCGCCAGAGCGGCGAACAGCAGCCAGGAGTAGTTGTGGATGTAGGGCTGGATCAGACGGTGCCGGTCACTGATTCGTATCGTCACCATGGGGTACACTGTGATGCGATGAGTTGGCAGATGGCTGGAGATGTTACGGTTAAAAGAATATCAGAGTTACTACTCAGACTTTATCCATGAATGAGTTCAAACAGGATGAGATGAAACCTGAAATGTGCATCACCTGTCCGGATATTTCTTTGCATGGTAGCATCCAAAGCACAGATCGAAGTCTTCACAGACATTGCAGTTGATCCTGCTGCCTACAATCAGACCCTGACAATGGTCGCAGGCGTACTCCATGTTGACCATCTCATGGTCGTCCTCATGGCCCTCTGGCTTGGCCCCGCCTGGTTATAAACAAACACATTCCCCGTCTTATCCACAACTCTAGATGAATGTCTCTACACTCTGAAGATCTTTCAATGTGACTGTATGAGAGAGTGTGAGCTCACTGAGGAAGCACGTCTTGCAGAGGTCCATGTCCATGCACTGCAGACATCGGTAGCGGTGCCACGGTGCCATCCGCTCGCAGCCGTCACACGAGATGACAACGTTGAGCAGGTCGCAGTAACGAGCGATGAACATGTGCATCTTTGGAAACGACAGAATAAACATCAGACGTGAGCATTTGTATTAGTGATCGACTACAGTGATGTTCTTTACATGCATGCTACCTCATCGTCATTGAAGGTTTTTGTTATTACAAACAAGAAATTACCCAGAATGGGTGTCTAGGACTTTTGTTTTTTGTTGCCATGGTATCAAAACAGGTATTGCCTTTGTTTGATTTTTACTAGAATCATATTTGTTGTTTTTGAATTTGGATTTTTGGGTTTCGTACCTTCCTCCTGTCCTCCATGGAGTCCTCCTCGTCGATTTTGTCGTACCACTTCTCAAACATCCCGTCCATGCACTCATCCATCCACTCCTGGTTCTTCTTGTAGTCTGCGATTTCATCCTCCTCAGTCCACTGACTGAAGATGCATTTGAACAGCAGACAGAACAGATCATTAAGATGCTGGGATACTGTTTGACATACTTTAAGAAACGTGTTGATCTGCTAAAACAAAAGCTGTGTTTTCTGCTCCTCTTATCATATTACCTGATGGCAATGTCATGGACACTGATGTTTTCCTGGGACATGCTGAGCAGGAGTTCAGGAAGCTTGATATTCAGGAAGAGAGGAAGGTCGTGAACCTCCCAGCTCATGTCCAGAAGGTGCAACAAGCAGGTCTGCACACAGGACAGGGCGGGCAGCAGGGCTCTGCAGAGCGGGAACGAGGGGACAGGTCACATCACAGAATTCACACTTTAAACTAAGACTCACTTTTCCACTTCAGCGTTCTTAACTTAAGTCTGCTGTGTTACAAACAGGAGGGCTTACTTCTCATTGAGGCTGCTGAAAGCTTGAACTGCCCCCACCAGCATGAGCACCAGCTGATGGTAGGAACGCCTCACCTCCTCTCTGAGCTTCTGCCCGCTGTCTGACAGCTGAGAGAAGTAGCTGGAAGAGACAAAGAGATTTCCTTTCCGTCAAGATTCTGTCGTTTGTAAACTTGTCTCCGCGCTTGTAAAAGTGTTTCACATCTTGTACATTTGTTTGATAAAATGTAAATTAGTTTTGTCCTTGGTAAAAGTGTTTCACACTTTGTCTTTTTGTTTTGTACTTCCCAGCCACCGTAGAATCATAAATATAACAGGACCCAGAATGGACCCTTGTGGAACACCTTTTTTTAAGCACGCTCAATCGAGAAACTCAGTTTAGTATATTAAAGATCCAATAACACAACTATAATCTTTTATATATTTATATGGTTATATTTACTGAGTGTTAATACAGTATACAAACAATACGCATTACAATAAGCAATAAGCATTACACATCGACTTCTCTTCAACACAAACATTCTCAGCAGGTCGTACCTGGTGAAGTCTTTCTGACACGCCAGCAGCTCCTGCAGGAACAGGATGCAGGGGGCCTGGAAGAGGTGTGGCTTTCCCAGGGATTGTAAACACTGCTGAACCATCTCCAGGACCTTACACACACTCAGAGCCTGGGCTTTGCTCAGTGACAGGGTCTGAAGAATGCTGCAGGAGGAAGACATGGATTACTTAAACCTGTACAGTACAATAACATAAATAATTAATGAAAAATAAAAGACTGGTGGTGAACCTTGCTGTGGTGAGAGCCTGGTCCCTTATAAAGTTCAGGATGTGTTTAAGGATTGGGTAGCGATCCTTCACAGAGGGGGTCATACGCGGCTCTTCTATAGATCTGCATGAGAGGAGGCGTAGGCGGGCCCGGCTGAACGGGGCCTTACGGGGGAAGGTGGAGGGTGAGGCTGGTTCTCCTGACTGGGAGGAGAGGCTCTCTGTGGAGCCTCTGTGGCCTTGCTTGTGTCCACATGAAGATGAGTTTTGGGCACCACCAGAGGTTTGGCTCTGCGCTGCTTTGGCATCACTGCTCTCCTCTGGCCCCGCATGCTGAGGTACCACAGAGGAGCTGGGCTGAAAGTCCGCTTCTGAGATCGAACTTGAGCGGAGGAGTAGAGCACTGCTGCCCTCTGCAGCTCTGGAGGAGTCACTGTCCTGACACGGCACTCCACATGGTGTGAATCTGAACAGCAGGAGGCTCTTCTCAATGCACATCTCCGCTGGAGACAAAGACAGTAACAAGAGTCAGAAAAATTAGTATCATAGCCTTTATATGACTCTACAGCTATCCAGTTGCATTTTACACTGACCCAGGTGTTTTTCACAAACAAACAAACAAACAAACAACACAAGAAAGTCTTGATTAAAAACATGCAAGAGAAGATCTCTTTCTCTGCAGAAGACCCGACTCACAACATCTGAACCAACAGATATGCATGAAGAGAACTCTCAAACTGATAAAACAACAGAAATAAACACGATGTAATAACATTCAATGTAATAAAGATTTCATACGTCATTCACATGAATCAAAGGGGAAACAAGGCCAGAATAGTTTTTCTTAAGGACATGATACAGTGAAGTTTGCCTTTATCATTTAAGTTGTGAAAAAATGCAATTAGTGCGTTCATTGTTGAGTTATGGAAGAGAGAGATAGATCACAGTGACCTTTGCTTTGACCATACATTCTTAAACAGCTCGTCCTTGAGTTCAAGTGGACTTTTGTACCTCCACAGGTCATCTGAAGCTGCTCAATAAATCACAATTTTATCATTACTGTGAATTTGAGAATTTGCACATAAAACACTATCTTAAGTGTCAGCATTTATTACAATGAAGAGGAAACTATTTTATGCAGCCGTGGACGTGGAGCTGGTCTGCTTCCTGTTGGACAGTCAGGTGACAAACCAAGTTTGAAGTTTACAAGTTGCAACCAACATTTCTACGGACTGCCCATGCTTTACACCATGTTGATTTAGTCTGATGAAGCTCAAGCTCGCCATCAGCCATCCTTAGATTAGCGGGAGCAAACACATGGAGCATGGAGCATGGAATAACTCAAGTTTCAAATTCACTTTTTCCGATTTTGTCTTCCCACGATCGTGAAAACAAGATCATCGAGATTAAACGATCACTGAGCTGCATGCCGGGTTGCGCTCATTTAGTCCCTAGGTTTTGTCACGAGTGGTAATAGTGTTTCATTTTTATATTTTGGCAACAAGAGTTCATCACCATCACCTCAAAAACCCCTCAAACATAGGTATGGTGTTCAACATGAAGAACTGCAGGTAGACGTACAATCTGTGACTTATAGCTAATGTGCACTCTTCCATTTTGTGTTAATTTATTTCACGCTTCACAAAAGGTTAGAGTCCTCACCTAGCGTCTCCATGGTAACCTCATCTTGACCTCCCTCCTTCTCATCAGGAACGGAGATTTTACCAACGAGGTACCTTTGCTTCATCTCCAGCTGATGGAGAAAACAAACATTTTGGTTAAGAAACACGATGTCTGTCACTTGAGCGGCACATACATGTGATGGTTATGAACCTTACCATCCAAGTCCTGATGCTGTCAGCGAGTGCGTACACCTGCACAAACTCTTCACTCAGGCACGACTTACAATCCTGATAAACTGCTCACACAGAAGACAAACATCACGAAGGTTATTTACAAAATAAACAGAACATCGTGTTCTATAGCCAGGGATAATAAACCGAGTGTTACCGTAGGTCTTCAGCGCATGGTTCAGGGCCGGTGTGTGGTACACCATGGCCGCCCAAATGGCGTTCACAGCCTGGTCTGTCTTTGACCCGGGAGCAATCTCGTTTCTCATCGGCTGTTTCCTGCAGGACTGCACGAGGGTCTTCATCAGTTCTGTTCTGCTGTCTGTTGGCTCCTGGGACGGGTTCCATCGGGCAAAGTCCTCCAGGAAATTCACTACCTCATCAGGGGTCCACGACTTCGACTACAAGACGGTAAAAAAACAACGGGTTAGAACGCCTCCTGGCTCAAGACGTTCACAGAGGAATAATGTAAACCTGAGATAAGAGACTTCTGCATTGATCGGTCAGTACCTGGTCTGTGGGTGATTTTGTTCGATTGGTCTCTCTGGCTTCACACAACCCGTGTCTCAGGATGGGTTTCCAAAGAGGGGAAGACTGAACGTGGGACATTTTCCCCTGGGGGAGCTCCTTCACAGAGCGAATCTCTGAAATAGACGGTGATATCAAAAAAGTCAGAATTGTATTTTTTTAAAAAGGGTCAGGAAAAACAGCTCAGGGTTGTATTTTTTCAGTACATGATGCAGTCTGGAAAGTGTTTCCTCATACCTCAATCCATTTTATCAACACATCTCTTATTATGATGAACATCAAAACAAAATGAAATTACACGGCGACTCTCATATCAGAAAAGTAGCTCAAAGGAAGAAACAATAAGAAAAAGTGTCGCACTGCATGGCATGTGATGGAAATGCAGTGGTTGCTGCTGTCCCCTCATAGCAAGAAGGTTCCCGGTTCAAATCCCAAATCATAGGATAAGCAGTGAAGATAATGGAGGGATGCTAAATTAAAGCTAATGAATAACAATGATCATAATAACATTAAAGGTCAATATAAAGGGGACATTTTAGCGAGATCTTTTCATGTGTAGCCCTATTGATTTCCACAATTCCGCTACAGCACCATTACTACCGTCATCACACATGAAGACATTCTTATCGCTTCCACAACGGCATTACATTGGCGTCCCAGTCTATGCATTCACATTGCCTTATTTCACACAGAAACCCTTCAGCTCTCAGACTTTCATGTGATCTAGTTCCTAGAGGGCGGTCTCACCATGAGGAGATTTGAGGGCGAGTGTTCTTGAAGCCAGGCGACCCATCAGACGAGCGACCAGCAGCCGCAGGTCTGACATCCAGGAGATGGTGATATCTGGGAGCCCGAGGGCGGTCACAGCGAACTTGTAACCCCACTCGTTATTACTGCTGTCTGAGTGGAAGAGGAACTGGAGCTGAGGGCCGGCGTCAAACGTCACTTTCTGCAGGATCAGTGAGAAACAACAGACGTGTTTAAACAGGATAAACATCAACTGGGTTTCATGTGAACGCAGCTAAAGGTTTTCTTATTCCCTACCTTCGGCCACTTCTCAGTTCCAACCTTCATGTCATATCGGACCTTCCCACCTCGGGAGTCTGTGAATTCTAGGTAGTCGTATCTGTCAAAAAGCACGAGCATAGAGAATGGTGAACAAGAATGTCTCACTGTGGACACAAACAAGAATCTCTTCACTCTCCGCTCACCTCTTCTCCGTCTCACAGCGCTCGTCAAACTCCAGCTCAAACGAGGTGGCGCCGGGGCAAGCGAAGATGCTGGTCTCGTGTCGGCTGTTCTCGTAGTTGTGAGGAGACTCCAAGTTCCAGGTCCTCAGCACAACGGGCTGCTGGGGCTGGTGCCAGCTCTCCTGATCCACCTACAGGTGAGTCAGTGAACGCAATCAGTTGATGGTAGAAGACCCCCCTGCCCCCCCATCCCGTCAAACAGGGATAGTCTCTCACTGTGAAGTGCATGTGTGAACAACCAGATCTGGAGGATTTGAGGAGCAGTCCTCCTGAAGTCTTCTAGATATTTTCAGGAGTTTATGTGTGAAAACGGCTCACCTCCATCTGATACCACTAGCGCTAAAAGCTGGACAGAATTTATTCGTTTCCCACACACCTATGTACGTCACTCGCAGAAATCCACCTGTTATCACAACTGGATTCAAAGTGTCCTTAAATGGAAGACGGCCTCAACAAAGATGGACACATAATAATGTGTGCATAGAGAGTGTGTATACTGGCTCTGGTCGTTTTGCTGTAATTAACTTCCCCTCATGCTCCAATTACCTGTCTGCTTTCTTCTGCTTTCACACAGCCTGTGGGATGGAGAGGCTGTAAACATTTTTCGGCACACTGTGGCCTAAGAGGACTGACCTTCGAGAAGATGTCTCCCGTATCGCCTGACAGGCTTTTGAGCAGCTCGACCAGAGAGGAGAAGTTCTTCAGCAGCACGCTGTGAGGGATGTCCAGAGAGCACAGCTCCAGGAGTAAAATCATCTGCACAGGTCAGAACACATTTCACAGTCGTTCAGCGCGTACAGATTCATACCCGGGCCGGGTGACAAATGCAGAAAGGTGACAGTGTTTTACCAGTTGTCTGAAGACTGTGGCGAGGATGGAGCTGCCCAGTTTGTCATTGATTTGAGCACCGGTGTACCTCTGCAGCAGGGAACCCAGAATGGCTTTGAAACTTCCCAGGAACTGATCCACGTCTGTCAAAGTAAAGCATCTAGCGTCATCCTCTACTCCTGAATGATTCTCTAAGTGAACCATTAGAAACTTCCCTTCCATCTGTTGGACAGTAACATCTGACCTATCAGCAGTATCTTACATTTAAGCAGGATTTGTCTGGCCAGCTCCATGGCGATGGCGGTGGAGGATCCAGTCTTGAGCTGCAGGTAGCACCAGGAGACCAGACTGCCCTGCAGAGCCCAGAACAAAGACAGCAGCACGGTCCTGCTGGCTCCACTGCTCTCATCCACCATCATCACCTCACACTGCGAGACAAAGTGGATCATCAGAGAAGAAGAGGGAGCAGCAGCTGTTGTTGATGAATGACGTAATAAAACAGTCCAGATGTTGTGTGTGTGTGTAACAGACATCTCACCTCTCGTGTTGCCACCAGAAGCAGCGTCTCCATTACCGACAGTATGGGGCTGATGTCAAAGTCTGCGGGAGCTCCTTTGGGTGGGAGCAGGAGAAGGCCACTTGGATCTTGGTCGCTGCACAGAGAAGAAAACATAGCTGCTGATACTCGGCTGTGACCTGAACGTGGAAGAGAACGTGCACATCCACAGTCAGCTTACCTGAAGTAATTACACAGAGATTCAAACGTCACCTTCACCGACTCGGGCTGGTCCTCTTCTGTGATGTTTTTCTGCAAAAGACAAATGATGACATTACATTTCCTCATTAGAATCAGATTTCTGTCTTCACCTATCCGTTTGTTTTTTAATAACTCACCATCATGTGGAAGAGTTTGTCTCTCCTGACGTGTTTATCAGGGAAGAAAACTGCTGCTCCGTTAAGAATGGCCTTCACTGCTTCTTTATGCAAAGCTTTCTCCACCAACGACTCTCCCACTGGACCATCCACCACTGAAACACAATCATGACATACACATAGTTTTACATTATACATAAACTGATTTAAGAGGGGAGAATCCACTAAACACAGTTATTGGTCGTGAATAAGAATCGACTTTTCTACATGTACTGTGCACAGATCCTGCACTGATTCGACAATGCATAGGCAGACAGAAGCTTTCTTAACTTCAATGAACAACATTTAACATTATTATTAAACACCATCAGCCAATCAGAATGCAGACTGCGTCTACTTGGCTGTGATGCTCTGTTCCATGTGCCGGTGACCGTGAAGAAGCTTTACAAACTTTGTCGTGACATCATTTTAAAAACCACCCGAAGCGTTGCTTTCAGCACAGTATGGTCTAAAGAGAGTTTGCACATCAGCCCACATCAGAAAACATGTACAGAGATGTGATGCATCTGTGATAGGAAAGCAGAGGAGGGTGTAGAAGGAGCTGAAGAAATTCAACCTGCCAAAGCCGAAGGTGGGCACTCCCACACCTCCCTCATCGAGTCCATCCTCACCTCCTCCACCACTGCAGCCTATCATCTGATTACACTCTGTTACTGAGAGACCTGCTTCTCACACACACACACAGGACCCAATCACACACATGCACAAACAGGAGCTGTGGACATGCATTAGTGGAGAGATGTCAGAGTGGGGCTGCTACACAGGGAGCGCACCAGAGCGGTTGAGGGTTCAGTACCTTGCTCAAGGGCACCTCAGCAGTAATCGGTAAGTGCACTGGCACCTCTCCAGCTACCAGACCAACTTCCTCATCGTGCTCCCAACCCAACGCCCTACAGACTGAGCTACTCCAGCCCCTCTGCTCTGCAATCTGACGTTGTACTTTAGGAACAAAACCTCACCCAACGACGACGTTTTGTCCCTCTGCTATCAGCCTCATTAACCGACTCCAGTCCCCCAGCTGTGACTGAGACTCTGCCAGCGTAGTCCCTTTAAGTTTCATTACTCTAACCCACAATTAAGCCACCAGATCAGACTCTTACTTTACGTCACCGCACTAAATCTGAATAATTATCTCTGAACAATGTCTCTGTAGTTCATACAGTAAAGATGTGCACACGACCTCTGCAACACCATTTCTATCTTTTATTCCATTTTTATACTGTTACAAAGACCCAAGACAAACCACTTGTATGTGCAAACCTACTTGGCAGTAAACGTCTTTCTGATATATCGGTCAGGCTTTCAATTTCTGCAAAGATTGCCACAAATTCTCAGAAATCAGTCACGCTATTCTGCTACTGTCCAAGTAATCTCAGACAACAAAAACATTTTCTTGCTGCCGCTTGCATGAAAGCTAAAGCAGTTCTTACCACTGCAGAGGTGAGTGTAGAGTTCCCAAACAGCCTTCACAGACTCAGACGGAGGCTCTGTGCTGCTGGAAGTGGATGGACAAGCAGCTGGAGCTGGAGGTGCTGCTGCAGCTGGAGTTGGTGCTGCTCCGTCTTTTGGTCCTGTGCTGTCCTCAGGGCCTCGGGGCTCCAGTGGGTTGGGCATCATGGGGAAACAGTTCTGCATCAGCTGGAGCAGCAGAACTCTGCTCTTCAACACCTCCTCTCCCTCACTGAGACAAAGACAAACAGCTGGATTTAAAGGGAGGCCTTCCTAACACGGTGCATGTCCTGCTTCCTGACTCTTATTAGTCTGTACTCGCCTCTTATTACTGCTGCATCAATTGAGGCAGTGAGGATGTGGATACAAAAAAAACACAGACATGAAAGCACTACTACTCACATCTCCCTGAGTTTATTGTAGAAGCTCCAGAAAAGGTTCAGACCGAGGCCACTGAAGTCCAGAAGAAACTTCGGTTTAAAATGAGAGGCATCCTGCAGCAGTGGAGAGAAAATGACAATGATGACAAACAACTAATCTGCACATGTTAAGAATTCAACAGTCGAGTAAATGAAATGTTTGCAGCATGTCTACTAACGATCACAAGAGGGCAGACTGACCCACTTTAAATATGTTAAAAAATTAAGTGAGGCTAAGATAGAAATGAGTTAAATCCTCAAACTCAAGGTGGTAATCTCTATTCTTGTTTAGAGTGAGATCATTTTAAAGAGTAATAAGGGAACCAAAGGAGGAATCAGCTGCAGTCCTTTGACCTTTTTTGTATAACAGTCCCAAAACCCTCCAGCAGGTTTACCACAAATACAGCATGAAATAACGAAATGAAGAGATTTATGTTGATTGGAGTGTTTTCAGCTACTGAGAGTTTGAATTCAAGGTCATAAATTAAACCATTGGATGTTTTGGAAAAGGTTCAGCAGTTACCATGTCTCGTGTTAGCTGCTGTATGAAGAATAGTGTCTTGTTAAGTAGACAAAGGCCGGTGACCGCGTCGTGGTCGTAGCTCTCTCCCTCTGGACTGAGGTCGTCCAGGTCTCCGAGCCTCTCCGCCCCGGGACACAGATAACCGCTGAAGGTGAGGGACTGCACGCCAAGACGCTCTGCGGAGTCTTGCCTGGTGCACAGGAACTTCACCATCAGGAACTAGGAAGACAAAAAAAACAAAGGTGTGGTCACTTGGTGACATGAAAAATAAAACAAAAAGGAACTCAGGACTTTGAGGGAAGTCTCTGAATACTTGACAACAAAAAAATCTGTTGGTAATAAAGATATGTTTTGTACCTTTGCAACGCGACACTGCTGCAGCTTGATCTCCACGTCGTTCCAGTCATCCTCAAGCTCAAACCAGCCAATCGGCTCATCTTCAGACTGAGCTGGAGTCTTAGCACTGCAGGTCAGGAGACAGAATGTTGTGTTAGCTACTCAAACTAACACCTCTAGAAAACCCCCCCATCGAAGAGGGAGTAGATACACTGACTATACTGTGTTAGTAATATCTGCTTTATGACTCAACAAACATAGTTTGGCTGTTTTCTGTTATTAATGAGTTGTTAACTCTTGGAAGGTCCAATCAGTGAGATGTGTAGTGAGTGAAATGATAAAGTGACCTTACTATATGATCAGACATTAAGGAAACATGCTATGTTGAAGTGCTGGCTTCTCTGACAACAATGCAGCAGCCAGTATGTCCTCCTTCTAACTTTAGATTCTGGTCCTGAATGCTCTGGATTTGTTTGGACCAGAGAAGGTAGGCGGTTTTAAGACACCCCCACACGGCCGTTTTGGACGCCCCTCGGTTTGCCAGATATGAGAGCAGTTATCAGGTCAACAGGTGTTGCAGTGATGGAAGCGGGCAAGAGAAGTGGTTCAGATAGAAGTGATTGTACCCGACCTAAAAAGCCTCTGTGTGTTTCTAATAAGCTCCACGAGCAGAAACGTGCTCAAACTAGGATCAATATTGGAGATGATTTTGAAAAATGGAGAGAGGTTAGAACACAGAAAGGTTTACAGACCGATGCAGAGCTGGATAAACACTGAAGTTTCAGTATCCACAACATGGCAACCACGTGCTCCTTTCACTTAGATAAGCGTAGATGAATACATTTCAGATTTATTTTAAGTCCTCCTTACCTGTCTTGTACAAACTCTTTGTAGGCCTTGTAGTCCCAGGAGTCGTACTTTTTAAACCTCCTGAAATGTTTCTCTGCATCGAAAGCCTCTTCCTCCTTGTACGTAAACACCAAGCCGCATTTTGCACCAATGGCTCCTTTTCGCACCTGCGTCACACACACATACACCAAACAGAAGGTGTTATATAACTTACAGCTCTATTGCAGTTGTTAACAAAATCCTCCAAAGCCAAGCAGAGCCTCACTTTGATCTTCATCTGAGTGACCTGGAAGTTACTCTGATCCTCTGTGGACAGGATCACACTGGCTTTCTTCCTGCCGCTCTCTGTCAGAAAACCTTCAGAGCAACAACAACATTCAGGTTTAGTGAGGGACATGTGCAGAGTTGAGATGAGCCTCATGTTGTTGTTTGTTATTGAATAAAGCTGGTCTGCATCATACCGTCTCCAGTGGAGGATTCTGTGAGCATGTTCTCAGGTCCGGATTTCTCCTCTTTGCTCTTGACGTCACACGCCTGCAGGTGCAGCTGGAGGGGCTTCCCTGTTAGGACACATCAGGTATCATGACAGTGCATTTTCTGTGAGGTCATAGTTAATCACTTGATCGTTTTCCATACAGGATTGAATTTCATCCTTCTACTCAGGAGCACTGATCTGCAGCAGTGTAAGAGAATTAGCTATTTTTCCACTGCACGCTTCACTGACGCATCTCGTCTGTGAGCGCTGAGCACTTTCTCTCCCAGGCCTGTGGTTTCAAATATCTCGCTGCCAGTGAGAGTGAAAGAGGGCTTGTCACGTTACCGTTGCGATTAAGTAGCCGCAGCCTGACGGAGGCCATGGACACGATGAGGGCAGAGGCCTTGTACTCGGCCTCTAAATGGTCGCTGATGCAGGACAGGGCCTGCAGCACCTTCGCCACGCTGCCCCGCGCCAGAGCGAAGGCGAGGAGGGTGAGCTCTGCATCAGGACTCACACAGCAGCTGCAGAGGAGCAGAGGAAAGCAAGAGTTAGTTTGAGGAACCCTTTCAATGATAATTAACCACTTTGCATAACTCAAATTCTGAGCATTTTCGAATTCTAGTAAGAAGATAGATAGATAGATAGATAGATAGATAGATAGATAGATAGATAGATAGATAGATACTTTATTGATCCCGAGGGAAATTCAAAAGTAAGACCCGGCCAATATTTCTTGGGCCGATATCGATATTGAGGAGGAAAAAAATCTGATACCGATATACCTGTATATAGCTGATGAAATTAGCTAATATCAGCCGATAGTGGTCGGGCTCTACTAGTGAGTACACAAATGACCAGAATATCTTTGACTGTTTCCCTTCATTCGTAAGAAAATACTCAAAATAAACCCACATCCACATGTCTATATTATCAACAGCATTGGTTGCTGTAACTTTTCATTAAACGAGTTATCTGCTTCAGACTGTTGGAGCAAGATAATGACGTCATCTGAAGCATCAACATGATTTCTGCACGTAACAATGACTGTGCATTTTTGTCCTGAAAGGTTAGATTGAATTTGCTCTAACAATGAATCTCTGTGCAGCGCTCACGGACTCAAAAAACAACGACTACCACCAAAAACTCTTTCAAGATACTAGTCAGACTGCGCCTTAAAAATGTTAGGAATTCATCTGCAGCTTAGAAACAAGATAAAAGACATTCAGGATTTGATCCTCATAAGAAGAAAAGGTTGCATTTTAAGGATCTGCCTTTAAAGGTTTTCAGTCCTGTTGAGTTTAAAGACTGCCACGTACTTCCTCCCTGACTGATGATGCACTGTGCAATCAGCTTCTCTGATTGACTGATTCAAAAACGGAGACAGTCTCGACTCTCCCTGGTTCTGTACATTAACATAGAAGTGTTTTCTTGTCATCTTTACACCTGATGAAGGTCAGTTAGACCAAAACATTGTCTGAACTAATACATGAGTCAGCATAAAGCGAGACAGTGTGCAAGAGCCTCACTCAGAATCTTTAAAGGCCCTGACACACCAAGCAGACGGCAAAGAACTAGTGGCGACGAAGGCCACCGGTGGAGTCACCTCATGTCTTAGCCAAAAAGTTGCACTTGAACACACCGCAAAAACTACAGCCGACGGCCAACCACAACGTACGTTCTGCTCATGCTTGAGAGGAAATAACTCTCCGAGAAGACCATTTTCACACCGCTGTCAGTCACCACTCGTATTATAGGTAGCCTACATATCGAGAATAAGGTCTGATAAAAAGTTGAAAATGGCGCTGGCGTTGTCAGTCCTCGGTCTTTTAGTGGAAAAAGAAAAGAAGAGGCGGAGGAGACAAATAAGGAGAAACCGCACTAATGGGTGAAAGCATGGATACTACAGAGGCATGCTCAAGGGGCTTTCCTGAACCTGTGAGGAGAGCTGGAGAGAAACGAAACCTCTGAACAGCCAATCAGAGAGATTCCTCTCGCCGACCGCCGATGTCGAATTGGCCATAAAAAGGCAGGCGGGTAGCGACAGAGCCGGACACACCACAAAAACTAGAGCGACGAGCTCTCACCGACGGTCCAACTAAGACAGACAGCCGACGATCTCCTCGGTATGTCAGGATCTTTAGTTTTACCCTTCTCAGACGCTCCTCTCACACACTCAGGTGTGCAGAGATTTATTTTCAATGTATATCTATTCATAGCCTGAATGAATCTCTGACAATGCTGCGAGTAAATGAAAAATATACAGTCATACGTCTGATGACTAACTGATAAGAATATTCAGGAAGTATTTGTTACTGATGAGACTCAACCCCCCACTGAAGGATTTAGAGTCTATAATGAAATGGATGTCGCGTGTCTTCATAAGACTGAATCAATACTCCGACTCCTGCCTGAAGTCATTGCGATGATGTCAGCATCACGAGCTCAGTGAGGCAGTGATGAGTAAGTGTGCTGATGTCATCGTCCTTACTCTGCTATCCTGAGGAGAAATCCATCCACCTCCTCCAGGATGTTCAGGGAGAAGAACTTGGGGAACTCTGTGGAGGACGGCGTGAGGGACAGCGGTGGCATGTGCAGTAAGGCTTTTCTGTGAAGAAAGAAAAACAGGAGGAAAACTCTCAGACACGGGGACAAAACCTCACAATCAGAATCAGCTTTAGTGGCCAGGTGTGCTCACACATAAAAGGAATTTGACTTTGACAGACTGTGTTCTCCATGTAACATTAAACGATAAAGGTCACATATTCTATAAAATCCTCTTCACCATATGTCTCTAATATGTGTCTCTAGTCCGTCTACAAACCCCCCAATGATGAGAAAAATCCATCCTCTCCATCTTTAGCCTGCTCCACTTTTCAGAAAATGTGTGCTCAAACAGGCCGTTTGGAGATTTTCCCTTCATGACATCACAAAGGGCAGTAACCCTCCCCCAGGTGGGTGACACTCCCACAGCTAGGTGTTTGTTCTGCCCTCTGAGTCTGCCTTCTCACCGTAAACAATAGAACATGGAGCGAGAAAGACCGAGACACCAGAGCCCTTCCAGAGAGGGGGCGTGGTCAGACACAGCTCATTTACATTTAAAGGTACAGACACAGAAACAGTCTGTTCTGAGCAGGGCTGAAATAGAGGGGTTTATAGACATGATCAAATACAGGATCAGAGTGGATTTAGAACAAGAAACTTCACACACATGTTCTGGGGAGCTCTGAGACTTATTTACACTGAGTTGAAGAGGAGGAGAAAATGTGACCTTAAATGAAATAAACAAGAAACTATATACAGGACTAAATAAGATAACAGTGCAGAGGTGAGCTGTGGAAAAAAACAAAGAATCTACATGAGGTAGAAAGTTGTGTTTCCAGTATTTTCTTTAAGACAGTGTGCAAAGGTTACACACACACGCACACACGCACACACGCACGCACACACGAGTAGTGCGTCTTACTGTGTACTCTGAAGGACAGTCTGAGCCAGTGCAGGGTTGGTCTCCATGGACGCGGTGACCAGGGAGGTGAGGAGAGACAGGTACCAGATGGCCGAAGCATCCGACACAGACACCTCTTTACTTTTAGTAATCTGATAACCCAGCGTCTTCAAGCCGTGAATCCGTGTGTCACATCCATCGCTCAGGCACCTCTTAATGTTGATTTGGATGTCTGGGGTTTATTAGAGACATGATGCAGTTAGGACACTGATGGATTCCTCTGAGAATGACAGAACACTAGACGCAGACCATGACAGAATTTTTAAAACTATTACCAATATTGATTTTAAACGGGATGAATTAAAAAATGACTGATTTTCTGGCCACTGCATGTTTCTAATGACATGGCAACCTGCGTGAGCATCGACTCTAGAGAGGAGGATGCTCTTCTTCTACATGTGCTGCAGAAAGTGCTGAGAGGTTTGTAAACAATCAAAGAAGGTACCTGAAGCTGCGGCAGAAACGACAGGACTGTTTTTAAAATACATGGCCACATTGTTCCACAGTTTTAACCTCTGCTAAAACTGAGCTTTTTCCGCTTACAACTGCCTGGCTCTTTTAGAAAAACTAGTGTTTGTGAGTCTTGTGGCCTCAGTCTCAAACCATCTCCTACACCCTCTCCCTCTATGATCTTCTACTCTGTTGGCGTGCTCACGTGGAGGGTCCGCCACACTGACCGCCTCTGTAGGGGGAGTGTGAGCAGACTGTTAAACCCTCCAACAGCGAGTCTGCACTGATGCTGTTTTACTGAACAGGTGTAACACACACAAAGTGAAACTGCTTTAAGTAGGATATCATTTTCACAAGTATCATAGAGATTTAAAGATCTAAAGGTTTTACATCATATTAAGTCATATTAAGTAGTCTTGAAAACGGTTCATGTGGTTGCATAAATTACCTTTTTCTGAGAGATAGAAGACTTAGCATCTTGACTTTGTATCTATTGACTACACTTAAATGAAGGGTGCTTCATTCAGCTGTGTAAGTGACTTCAAACTGTGCTCACTCGGTGACAGAGTGGGAGTGGGCGGGTCGTAAAGCATCTTGTAAGCTGAAAAACGTCTAGTATGGGTTTAAGTGTGGCCTACTGGCTTTACAAACAGCCCTGGGTTTAACAAACAGGGATCCTTAGCTCCAGGAAACTCGCCTCTGGATTCCAATCTGAGCCACTTAACCACTCAGCTATCATTGAAAGCTGCTGTGCTTTTCTGCAGCTCACACCATGCTCTGATTTCACAGGAGGGGCTGCACGTTAGAAAGATGTTTTCTCCACAAGCGTCTCCAACAAGCGGTGAATAAAAACGTCACAAAGCAGACAGACGAGCAACTCACAGGGATGTGTGATGTTGGCGTTTTCCAGGAGAGCTACGTAGCCCGTTACGTTGCTGGGGATGCGGATGTCCCTGATCTCCTGCAAGGAGCGGCGGTTCTTCCCGACAGCAACAGAGACCAGCTGAGGCATGTAACTGTGGTCATTAGAAGCCACGGCGATGGCAAGACGTCTCAAAACCACATCCGGCTTCATTTTCAATCTGAGACACAAAGAAACAAGATCAGCCTGAAAACGCGTCATACACACACACAGACATATTTTAAGGATCCAACTCGTGAGCCGCTCTTACCTGATCCAGTGTGAGCGCGCACTGCCGTCCGACTGCCAGAAAGAGGACGTCTCCCCATTCGTCATCTTGTTGATGTCTGACGCGTTGGACGAAGCTTCGATGGAGCTGTAGCACTGCGTGACCACCTTCACCTTGTCCACCTCTGGATCCCGGTCCAGCTCTGCTCGGTACTGGATGTCTAAATCTGAGAGAACCGGACACACATGAGGAAGAGCCAGGATGCAGTTTGAGTAAATCTTTAAAAAATCCACTGGAGAACATTCAGAAAAAGACCGTCATTCAGTTCTTATCTGAAGCTCTTGCGTTCACCTTTCTCTTTTTGCAAGAGGAACTCCAAGAAGTCCTGGACCACGCTGGACCTCATGGTGCAGATACTGTTGTATCCCTCTAAGATAGGGAAGGGGATGGCACTGCTGGGGATACGATTCCTGTGTAGGAACTTAAGGATCTTAGAGGCATGCGCTCCTAACCGGTCTTTGGTCTTGGAGAATATGTCAACAAAACCTGCAGAAAGAAAAAGCAGCGTTAGCTCCTCTGCAACCTGCCAACTACACTCATTCAAATAATCCAGGCCTTGTTGATCCAGGTAAACAAATCACTTCTCTTACCTGGAGTTAGGGAGCATGCCTGTAGCTGTCTTATCACATGACTCAGCTCTCCTTTTAGATTAGCTCCGTTGGAGTTCTTCAGAGCAACCAGCATGCTCTCGACGTCCACCACCCCATCCCCCTCTGCATCGAACTGTCCAAAGGCCTGAGACAGGGACAACGACAGGACACCCCGGGGGTCACGTTAAGACATCCACACAATAACTCACATTCATTCACAGCAGCACACATGCTCAATCATGTGGCAGACAATATGCTCAGTATTTGTTATTTAATGTTTAGAAATACATGTGTACAAGGCAGGGAGCAGCGCTACCGGTCATATGGTGGGACTTTCAGGTGGACCTAAGGAGTGAGTGTTATTCAAAGTGTAGCAGAGAGGCACTCCATGTTGACCAACACAAAGCCAATTGCAGAGTAAAGTACACATTCATTGGTTTACCCATTCATCTGCAACCTTTGCTCACACAACAGATGTCACACAACAGACAACAAAGCAGCATGTTCTGCTTACTGGAGGTATACTGTAAGCTCAAAACCGGGGGACAATAACCCTGACCACCAGCACAGGGGGCTCAGAGACAGCTTATCTGTTTCCTTACACACCCTGTCGTTTACAGACTATCAACACTTCTCCTTTTGTGGCCTCATCTAGAGCTTCTAATCACTCATCATAAATGGGCATGGCTACAAGCACTTGTGTCCTCAGACTTGGGACCGGTGGCGTTTCTAGAGTCTGTTAGGGATCTAGGAACATTTGATCGCGGGCCCTTGCAACCACCATTGAGCTGTTTTCACTCCCAGACAGATAACTCCTCTTCATTTTCCTTCAGTGGTTTTCACAGGAATAATGCATGAGATGTTTAGCAGCACAACGAGTATGAGGGCTGTCAGATGGGGGCCCCCTTAAGGAGGTTTTTTCTACTGCTGTGGTTTTGAAGTTTGTAAGCGCTGCTTGGGAATAGATCAGGTTTAGACAGCATGGAGATTCAAAATAAAGACATTTCACATGAGTGAGGCACGTTTCTGGTGCTGTGTACCTCTTCACACTCGTCTCTCGGGGCGTCTCTGCTTTCCAACATCTCACAAAACTGTTCCACATTGACAGACTCCTCTCCTCGGTTCAACCGGTCCTCCAGCCACCGCACCAGGACACCCTCGTTCCCTGCCAGGACTGACTCCTGAATGGCGACTCCTGAGTCACTAATGCGAGCCGCCGCCTCTCTTAGTTTCACTTGCTCTAGCAGGACCCCGGGGGTAGGGGGTCCGCCGGTGGGCACTGGCAGGTTATTCGATCCCCTTCCGCTTCGCCCAGAACCGGTGCCTCCACCGCCGCCGCCGCCGCCGCCTCCAACGTTGACGCCAGTGGCCGCAGAGGCCGGGCTGTCTTCCGCGAAACCGGGGCTCTCCGTTTCTACGTCCTCCTCGTCGCCGCTGCCGCCCCCGCAGCCGCTCTCCGCGTTCCCCATGTTCGTATCACCGACCTACGGATCCCTCGAAAATCTCTGCGGCCCACTCGGGTGTCAATTTAGAGAACCGGTCTGTACACAGACCTCTCTCTAACCTACAGCCAGGACTCCGCCGTTCACTACTACCGCATTGACGTCCTGTACGTCAGCTTGCATGAAACGTCCTTTGCGTCATTCTGTGCGCATGCGCTGAATGAGATCCCGTTCACGGAGCACAGATGGGAAATTCGGATCTTTCTAGTGAGCCAGATCATTTGGCTCAACCACCTAGCAACAGAAACCGGTGTTACATGGGAATACGCTACCCAGTGGAAGTGTTAACATGCCACTTGGTGCAGTAGGGAGCTTTATTTGATATGAGGGTCTTCACCTATCGAGTAATACTTCCAAAAGTGCTAAAGTGATTCTGTGGAGTACTGGGAGCATCTGCAGTGGGTTTACATTTTTTTGCCAAGGCAGCGCATCCTGACAGAACACCGGCTCTGTAGGCTCCTAAACGGCTCTTCTACTGCTTATAATTCAGTCAAATGTATCGATGTCTTGCCCTGTGATTGGTATATTTGCTCAACATTATCAACTGCATTATAAAACCGAAAACCACTCAGTCTTCCTCAAGTCCGGATACCGTAATGTTGCACGATGTTTGGTAACAAACAAAACCAAGTGAAATGATTCTTTACCTTCTCGTCTGTAGCTGGAAATAAATATACAAAGTTCTTCCTCTGTACCACTCTCATATCGTTGATTTAAAAGTGAGATATGTTGAGGTCAATAATTGTAGTCTATCAGAATAACGTCACATACAGAAATGATATGGTGATTGAAAAATTAGGTACAGACACATATTTCATCAAATGTGTTGATTTCCCACCCAAAGCCCGAAAGGAAAAAGACAAACACAGATCGTCACAGCAGGATCCTGATCCTGGTCACCTAGGTGAGTCGTCTATTAAGACCGACTCGTTCTCTAGAAGCACATCACTATCACGGAAGCACCTGCGTCGTTGTTGTCACAGATGTATTTGTGGTTGTTGTCAGATTTCCAATGAGAAATGATGAAATGTGATGCAAATGAATAATGTACCTTTCCGTTTGACTCAGCAGCATGCTCGGTTATGTGTGTGTCGCGCTTCTGTCAGTGGCAGTGCCGTTCCTTCCCTGGGAGTGGCTCTTTGAATCTGGGTATGACTCAAACAAGGGGCCCCCCATGCGGCTCCTGAACAGGCGTGAATTATCTCTGTACGACGGAGAGGAAGGCAGCAAGGGCCTCTACATCGGCATACTGGGACAGGTTTTTGATGTGCATAAGGGACACAAGCACTATGGACCTGGTGGTGCCTACCACTGTATGGCAGGTGATTCCTAGATCTGTTCCCACAGTTTGTGTTTGGTGTTTTGTGCTCCAACCTGAGCTCTCAATATGAGAGAGATCATGATGTTTAAACATTGTTTGATGCTCAATTACACCCAAAAGCCTCAACAAACCAACGTAAAGATGATTAATTGAATCCTAATAATGGCACATGAACAGCTTAAGTAGATAAGTAGACTGCAGCGCTGCACTTCATACTCTGTTTGTGGGTCTGGATTTTCAGGCAAAGATGCCTCACTGGCCTACATCACCGGGGACTTCACAGAAAGAGGCCTGACAGATGATTTGTCCAGCCTGTCTCCTCTGCAGGTGGTGGCGCTTTATGACTGGCTGGCCTTCTACCAGAGGGAATACCAAGCTGTAGGTATGTGATCTCTTTGATTACCAATTCCACCGACTTTGGTCTGTGATACAGAACCTGTAATAGTCTCTAAACCAAATAACCCTGAAGAAGATGCCTTGACTATCACACAATGTCTGTTGAACTCAGTTTTGAATCAGATTAATTAGAATAAGTGATTCAGATTTTAAAGGTTAGTTTTAGGGGTTAGATAAAATCCACTTCACCATATGTCTCTAGTCTGTCTACAAACCCCCAATAATGAGAAAAGTCCATCCTCGCCGTCTTTTGCCTGCTCCACTTTTCAGAAAATGTGTGCTCAAACAGGCCGTTTGGCGATTTTCCCTTCATGACATCACAAAGGGCAGTAACCCCTCCCCCAGGTGGGTGACACTCCCACAGCTAGGTGTTTGTTCTGCCCTCTGAGTCTGCCTTCTCACTGTAAACAATAGGACATGGAGTGAGAAAGCCAGAGACACCCAAGCCCTTCAAGAGAGGGGGCGTGGTCAGACACAGCTCATTTACATTTAAAGGTACAGACACAGAAACAGTCTGTTCTGAGCAGGGCTGAAATAGAGGGGTTTATAGACATGATCAAATACAGGATCAGAGTGGATTTAGACATATATTAGATATTCTTATTATTACGTAGTAACATATTTTGGTCCTTTTTTGGAGGGTTTAATATACAATAGTTAGTTCCAACCAAGCAACCTGATTGGACAAGAGGCCTTCCATGAGTGACAAAATCATCACTGTGACTTTTCACATATCCCTCCTCCTCAGCATGCAGGAGTTCTGAATGTTTAATTTACATTTACAGCTGACAGAGTTTTTCTTTATTCCTCAACCTCATACCTCAGAATCACACAAAACTAAGACTCTTAAAGGGATACTTCCCCCGTTGAAACATGAATCTGTATTGACATTGGGTCATATGTGTAGTAGAAATGTGAAATAAATTTTGAAGTTGGTTGAAGTTTTTGGCCGAGAAAAGGATGTGGATGAAAGACACTAAATACCAGAATGCACAGCACCGCAGGCCACTCCCACTAAATTCTAGTTCAGAATCAGAAATACTTTATTAATCCCAGAGGAAATTCGATCGTTACAGTTTCTCCAAAATATACAGTATAGCAGTAGAAATATAGTAATAAAAACATTTACAGACATATTTACTTCAACACATACGGTCATTTTCTCAATTTCTTCCAGAATTGATCAGAATTGACCCGCAGCAGCCAAAACACAAGACTTGCCTGTTGGCAGCAGCCATCTCGCTGCTATATTTATATTTTTTCGCCATTATCAGCTTTCTCCATAGAGCCTGTTAGCATAGCTTCCAAGCTGTATGGCGGATGTTAAGTTTTGATTCTGGGAGTGAGGTCCCACCCACTGATCTGTGATTGGTCTGTAGCTTTAGTGGTCGAAAATATGAGGAACTAGCGTTGTAGTTTCACCCTGCTAACCCGCAACATCTTTCAGTTATGTAAAAATCGCCATTTTGCGTCACTGGAAACTCCTTTTCAGACTCAGAAATACAAAGATTTCCCATCTCAGGGGAACATGAGGGCAGGATGCATGACCATTCAAAAATACTACCAGATTTCTAATGATACAAAGCTTAATGCAAATGGGTGAAGTATCCCTTTAACTTCACCAGTTTTATGATCACGTTAATTTCTTTTAACATACAAGTAAAGGTTCATAGTACAGAGGAGCTGCTCTGTTGTAACCCTGGACTTCACCTCTCCTTCTCGCCGTCTCCTATACTGTAGGTCTGGTGATAGGCCGGTTCTACAGCGAGACGGGGAAGCCCACAGACACCCTGATGCAGGCAGAAAAGTCTCTAGCGAAGGGCCACAGACTGAAGGCCCAGTCCGAGTCTGAGAAGGTTCGATTCCCGACCTGTAACTCAGAGTGGAGCTCGGCCAGCGGAGGCAGAGTCTGGTGCTCCACAAAGAGGTATGGAAAGAGTTCTGTCCTAATCAAATATTAATCAGGTTACTCAGCGTGTGACGCAGTGCTCAGAGATAATGCTCTCCTTTGACAGATGATGTCTCACACTAACGCAGGTGTGATTGATGTTCATGTACAAGAATGAACAGAGCTGGTATCCTTTTTCCGTTCTGCAGCGGCGGAGTGGACAGAAGCTGGACAGGTGTACCACGGAAACTCTTCTCTGCAGGCCTCACTGGCGTTCGTTGTGTGTGTGTTGAAGACCCGTCTGCAGCAGAGGACGATCCCAACCTGCAGAAGTATGACGGCTGCCCTCCACATGCTGACTCATGCTCTGTTAAAGACCAGTAGTGTCTGGGCCCAGCTCAGACAAATGAACCTAAAAGGGGTAGTTCTTTTTTCTTTTTTCTTTTTTTTTTTTAACAGAACAAATCTCAGGGAAAGTATTCTCCAGGAAATCACAGCTACAAAAAAAGTAGAATAAAGAAAATTCCATACATGTGTTTTTGATGACCTTTATGTAAATTTGTCCTCCCTTTTCTTCTAAAAGGATACATCAGGAAGAGACAGGCTAGATATCTGAGCATACAGATACAATATAATGTGCATAAAAGATTAAACAATGTGCATAAAAGATTAACAGAGGCAAGATTTAGGTTTGTCACAATGACAAGCACAAACTGCATTAAAGTACAAAACAGTTGTAGTGGTCAAAAATATCACACATTTATCTGTACAATTAAACAATACTTAAAGAGGCCCCACGAGCCGGCCGGCCCTCCGCTCCACATTCTCCCCGATGATCGAAGATGCCGCGTGATCTCTGATAAAGTGCACCTGTTAGGCTTAGAAATCAAGAAGCGTTACGTGGGACGAGTCAAGACGACGACTTGAGGCAACGTTTGGGGGGACTTTGATCACAATCACAACTTCCTGCAAAAGGACCTCATGGCAGATCAAAAAAAATGGAATGTAATCATCTGATGGCTGATTTGGAAACATGATTCATGATTATGACGAGGACATGAAAAGGCTACAAATTAAATCACATGCATAGGCAGAAGAGGCTTCTCTGTAACCGAGGATGACGACAGTGGAAGAGAGTTGTGTTGTTCCTCTTGGAAAAAAAAGGAAAGGGGGTGGGGGTTCTCAGGTCGCATTTTCTAAACATTTCATGTTAAAAAGTAAACAAGACGACGGAGCGATCACAGAATACAAAAAGTTACATTAGAAGGAATTTCATCATTGCTCAGTTGTGCTGTCGTTCACCTTTAACAGTGAAGTCAAACAATGTCAGGGTTATAATTTAGAGCCTACTTTAGAGAAGAGCTCATTTGAAAAGGATGCTCATGTAATGATTACGTTGGGTTTCTTTCCCTTTAAGTCCTCCTTGTCTGTCTCACTCTCTCCGGTCAGTACGCAGTCAGGATGACAGAAGAGAGATTACAGAGAACATGCTGACAGTTCAGTCTGTAGATCAAACTGACCTACGCTCATTTGACTGTTTTACTCTGCTCTTAAATGATAGCAGCCTCAGCTGTCGTATAAATGCAAGAATTCATTGAGTGTTTGTCTGTGGGCAGGTCACATAGCATGAAGGCTGCAGATGGTGAAATCTACCAACAGGGAGCAGTAACCCCTTCCCCCGACCCGAACAAAAAGTTTTGATCATTGAAAAGTTCATCACTGAATTGCAATGTGTACGCACAGAAGCAGCTACCTGCTTGAGATTATAAGCGCTAATCATCGTGAACATTACTGATCTTGGGAAATCGATTAACAAATTGTGTCCAGCCGTCACAGAGCTGGGGATCTGCTTATATCCACGTTAAGATACTTTGATCAGAAAACAACAAAAAGACAACGTCCTTCTAGAACATCGATGGTTTTTCAAAGACTGGAACGTTAGAAAGATGAAGGTCCATAAGTGTCCAGGAATCTCTTGTTAGTTTGTCCTGCTACTGATGTCCCTTCTCCTGGTGTGCCTGGAATAACTGTGCCGAGTTCAGCCTGGCGTGGCCAGTGTCAGAGGGTGGAGGAGGTCCAGACCGCTTTATTATGATACCCCACCCAGAGTCAGTACATCAAAGCAGATGTCGCACACCCTCACCGGCTTGTTCAGGTCAAACTTGATGATGGGGATCTCCTTTATCGAGCACTTGTGGCACAGCAGGCGCCCACAGTGACGGCTAGAGTTTAGACAAAGGATGTTAAAGTTAGAGACAACGTTCAACAACATTACATAAAGCATAAACTAAATAAAAATCTGACGGCCACACTAACCAGTGATGTTTCCGCGTTGTCACACCAAACTTGGCGGCACATTCATAGCAGTTTGACCCGTCACACCATGGGGGCTCTTTGGACAGCATGTCTATACAAATTATGAGGAGAAGAAAATGGTAAATGGACTTGAGCTTGTATCGTTATTTTCTAGTCTTCTGACTACTCAAAGCGCTTTTACACCGCAGGTCAGAAGCAGCAGGAGCAACTTGGACATGTGGCTCCAGGAGCTGGGGATCGAACCCCTGACCTTCTGGTTGAGAGATGACCGACTCTACCAACTGAGCCACAGCCGCACCAGAAATCCTTGAACTGTTTTTTTATTTTTTATTTATTAAAACCCAGAGTGTCAGAGCATCATGTGACTGCCATGCGGGTAATGAGGCAACAGAACTTACCTAGAAGGCGGAAGAGCAACTGTTTGGTTGCGACCTGGTAGTTGAAAATATTGATGCCCTGATTATTATTGACGCCGAGTCGAGCCCCAGCCCTCACTATGGCACGGCACAGGTTCGCATTTCCTTTCATGTAGGCGAGGAGCAGAACTGAAACAGAATACAGGTCACAGATGTTTTCAATGTAGGGCAGGAATCAATACAGTGTCCGTGTACTCTTATTAATAATATTATAGAAAGCTTCGGTACCGGTGTTCCCTTCATTGTCGGGTTTGTCCAGAGGATACTCAGGCATACACTCAAGGAACAACTCAAAAATGGCGGCGGCGTTCTCTTTCCCGTAATGGCCCAGGACATGCATCGGTGACTGACCCCTGATCAGACAGAACAAGATGACAGGGAGAGAGGAGGGTTGACTTAGTCTTCAGACGGTTGTGTTTGTCTACTTTTTTTAATACTCAATGTTTTTATTTCTGTCTTATCTTCTGAAATCTTTCTGCTCGCGTACGACTGACCTGAAGTCTGACCATGACACAAACAGACTGTACCTGAGATTGAAGGCCTCTGCATCGATGTTGGACTCTGTGAGAAGGGTTCGGACATTGTTAAGGCGACCCTGCATCACAGCCAGGTGCAGAGCTGTGAGGAACACAGAGAGAATCATTTTAATGTTACGGTAATGATGAGTGGATGTTTGGGTGGTGGGGTTGAGATTAAATCGACCCACACAACAAAAAGAGAATAAGTGGCTTTTTTTTTTTTCCTTTAGCTAAAATCAAAGACACCCTGGAACCCCCACCCAGGGGTGCTGTGGACACAAGTTCACCTGCTGGTCTCGCATAATCCAAATAGATTCTGTTCAACAATCCACCTCAGAACGTCTTCTTAAGGATTTAGGCTCATAGTTTGCGCCGTCTGTGTCGAGTGACAGACTTTCAGAAACAGCCCTTAGAGACAAATCACACAGACCGACTCTCACTAATCACAAATGTGTTCAAAATAGGAAAATAGGGCTTACATTGGATAGGACATGTTAAAAATCATAAAAGTTACAGTGAAATATGAGATTAAGCAAAATAAACTATTAGCCCATTCATTTTATTAAAAGAATGAAGGAAAAGTAGAGAAAAAGAGACTGAACTTATTTGAAGGCAGCCGTAAATAAAAAATGTTTTAAGTCCTGTTAATACTGATTATTTGTCCTGCATCACACCTGATGACCATAAAAGGACTGATAAGTCAAATGTCCTGTTTGTCAAGATATCGAGGTGAAAGTGAAAATGAAACATCGACTGGCCTCAGAGCTGATTGGTTACCTGATCTTTGTTTTGATTGGCTTTCATTTGTTTAACAGGAGGATCCCGGATCAGAAAGAAAAGCATAATAACAGAGAATGAAAGGTACCATTATTGCCGTTCTCATCCTCGGCAGCAAAGTCTACTCCGTTCTCCAGCAGCACCGAACAAATCGTGGCCAGGTCCTGCTGGGCGGCCAAATGCAGCGCTGTCTGTCTGTGTTTGGTCAGCTCGTTGACTTTGGCTCCGGCGAGCAGCTGAAAGAAGACGTGTGCAAAATCAAAACAGCATTGACTGCGTCGCTCTTTGTATCACACTTGGTTTGAAACGAATTACTAAAAAGCCGAAGCACATGAGAATGTGAGGGTGTACCAGGTTGCGGACGATGATCTCAGAGCCCGCCTGGACAGCCAGGTGGAGAGGGGTGAGTTTGGCGGCATCCTGAACCCTGGAGTTGACATTAGCTTGGACACTGATGAGAAACAGGACACTTTCAATGTCTGAATTCTGCACAGCCACATGCAGGAAGTTACGCCCTTTGTTGTCCACCTGGAGGGAAACAGCAGTTTGAGGTCAAAGGGGATGAATGGAAGTGTGACATCAGACAAAATAGTGCCTTTTAGAATCCGCCCTACTTGTTCTGCAGCCCCTGACTCCCTCTTTAGGATAGCCTCTGCTGCCTTATTGTTCTTGTGGGTCATGGCACAGGCGAAGGGGGTCATGCCTTGACGGTCACGTATGTTGAGACGAATGTCTGGATGTGAAATGAGCAGCTGTATGATCACGTTGTGCTGGTTGCTAATGGCAGCATGAATGGGAGCTCTGCCCTCTGCATCCTGATGGGAATAAAACATAAATTAAAAAGAGCATGTTTACAACTCACTTTGTAGATGTGGAGCGTGGATGCTGATTAAAGTTGAAGTAACAAAAGCAGAGCCAATGCGGCAGGAACTGAACTGACCTGTGCATTAACATTTGCTCCAAACTCTAAAAGGCACTGCACCACCTCCTCCAAACCCCAGTTGCTTGCCAGGTGGAGGGGTGTTTGTCCGTCTCGGGCTTCTTCGTCTCCCTCTCCGTTAGGCCCCGGCTGCCTGGGGCTGTTCACGTCACAACCGCTACACACAGGTAAACAAACAGGAAGTTAGGACAGCTGTCTACCTCCATCTCAATATGAAGCTTTAAAAGAGATACCTTTAGTTTGAAACCTCATTTTAATTTGAAAACTCTGATTAAAAACTGGGATGTTTGATAGTTCACAATGCAGCCTGATGGAGTGAGACTGACCTGCGGATGAGGAAACAAGCGGAGACCTCATTGTTCTCATCAACAGCTCTGTGCAGGAGGGTCTGCTGGCAGCCCGAGGGTCCGGGGCTCCAACAAGTCGCATCACAGCCGTGGCGGACCTTGGTGAGAAAGAAATCAAACAGTCGAACGTGAGAGAATACGGTTGACCAGGCAGAAACATTCAGTGTGAGGAGATTATAAGAAGACAGATGAGAGGGCTACAGGTGGGAGCGCAGGTGTTGTAAACACTTTTGCAGACGCTCAGCTACAGATCGAAAATAGAATTGGTTTTGTGTCGTTTAAGATCAAGTCCTTGCAAACTCAAAATGTTTTGGATAAGGCTGAGATGAAAGTGATATATTCATACTTGTGGGAAATTGTACACAGTTGACATTAAAGCACTAAGAAGCTCAGATAATTGCAGGCAGCTCCCCAACAAAAAAGTGACGTGTCCTCTCATTGAGGTTTCATTCCGTATTGAATTAAGTGTCATGGCGGTTAACAACTTGCTATGGAGGAAGAAATGTGGTACAATCATTTCTTAAATTGATTGCAGATGCATCCGTCCTCACCAGTGTGGATGCGATGTCTTCCAGGCCGTTCACAAGAGCCAGCCACAACGGAGGCTCTCCTTTGTCATTCACCACAGACATATCAGCTCCTCTTGTGCAAATGGCATCCACCACGAGTGGCAGCTGGTTACTGATGGCCATCTGTAGCGCTGTTTTCTCCTCTTGAGTCCTGATAGTGGAGGAGAAAAATAGACAGATATAGAAGACATGGATATTAAAAAAAAAAAAAAAAAACCCTCCCTGAACAGTGAAGGTGTCTTTCTGGTCACAAAATGATCTTTTATTATTCTTAAAGCTACAGCATTCTGAGCCGGCTGGTATTTAATCACAGCATATTAAATAATGAAACTGATTCTGGTTCAAAAAACAAAACAATCTCATGATCGTGACATCCTTGTTGACTGTGACCCCCTTTTTTATGTCATCTTCCTCTTCCCCCATGTTCTTTTGTGTGCAGTCACTACTAAAGGCATAAACAAACTTATATCATTAAGTCAAAGAAACCGCAGTAGAGCCAGGCATTACCGGACATTGATGTCTGCCTGGTGCTCGAGGAGGAAGAGGGCACTCTTGCTGTCCTGTCTTTGGATGGCCATGTGCAGCAGGGTTTGTCCATCAGACATCGTATCATTGATAGAGGCCCCTGATCCCAACAGCTGAGCCGCTATGGTGTGCATTCCTAGCAGGAACACAAAGTACATCATATTACATCAGGTATACAGAAACAGTCTTATAACAAGAGAACGACCTGTGAAGATAATGACACAGAATCCACTGTTGGAACACACACCTGTCCAGAGCGCCAGGCCCAGCACCGTCTGGTCGCTGCCGTCTTTAAGACTGAAGTCTGGAATGATCTGGAAGTTGTTGGTGGCATGAAGTGCATTTGCTGAAATATAGACATGAAGGGAGGAATCAGTGGATCCATTTCAGGGTGTTTGCTCTTTAATTAAATGTAGTTACTAAAGATGCGCAGACCTTTTTGTTCGAGAATCACTGTGACTACATCTGGGTGGTTGTGAGCAATGGCCATGTGGAGGGGGGTCTGCATGGCCACGTCGCGGTGATCGTCTGATAAAGCCTTCTGGGTCTGGAGGTTAGGGTTGGCACCTTGCTGGAGAAGCTCTGCTGTCAGGCTCGCCAAACCGCAGCGACACGCTGTATGGAGCGGGCTCTCACCCTGAAACAAGGAACAGAGGTTAATGATATGTTTAATATTAACATATAGGAATTTAACACTTACATCATAGTTAAGGATTTGTTATAAAGGAACTTTAAGGTGTACAGAAACAAATGTAGGGACTCAGCAGACAGAAACGAGTCATTTCTAACTTAAAAATGACCCATTTGTTAAGGTCAAAGTTTATACATTTGGTGGCAATAATATTTCACACTCTGTCCAATAATCAAAACGTTCCAAACGTTCATACACACCCATTTGTTGACGTGGTTGGCCTTGGCTCCGTGAGTGGCGAGGAACAGAGACGCTGCCTCGTTGCCCGCCTGAGCTGCTCTCTGCATGAGACAGTTTTCTACGAGGGATAAAACACGACGAGATGAGGATTTTCAAATGTTCTTACAGGCTCCAGCAGCATTTTTATTAAGAAGGTACGGGGATGTGAGGTCATGAAACAACACCTGAGGTGGCGTCAGGTGCATCAGGGTTGCTTCCTCTCTGGATAAGCTGGGCTGCAAAGCTATTCTCGTCGAAAGAGGTGCCGTTCTCTACCGGGGCATCGTCCTCGAATGGGTTTATTGAAGGGTCTGAAGACATGGTGATGTACTGCAGGGCCAGCCACAGAGCCGTGCTGCCCTCGTGGTCTTTGAGTTCCAGGTCAAGCCTTAACGAGATGGACAGATTACCTCCGGTTAAACACGGGATTATTTCCAGAGTGAGACGATGCCAGAGACACATTATGTCAAATTAGTCACATGTGTTCATCCTATGACTTCCAATGTATTGTAAACAGTATGCACGCTGTGTGTGAGATTTTTGTCAGTGAGTGTCACTCACTGTTTGCACTGCAGCAGCTGGTTGAACACGGGCTCGTTCCCTGAGGAAACCGCTTCATGCAACGGAGTTCTAAAACCAGCAACAAGAGGCAACACTGAATTACCACCATACTTATCAGGTCTGGTTATCAGAAACTGATAGAAGTGTTCAAACCGGGAGCCGCGTCACCTACCTGCCCTTGCTGTTCTGCATGTTGGGGTTAGCCCCGGTCTTAAGCAGGGCTTCTGCGATCCGGGCCATACCACCCATCACTTCAGCAGAGTGTTTCTTGGGGCTGAAAGAACAGACCAGGTGAAGAGGAGTTTCAACCGCCCCCACCGTGGCTGCATTCACCTGAGCCGAGTGACGAATCAGGAAGATGGATGCAAACTCATCGCCTGCAAGAGGAAGAAGAAAGAATCTCAAAAATACACAACTACAAAATCAAGCGTTCTCTCAGTTATTGAGGTTACGCAAGAAAATGACTTGAATGGAAAGGACGATACTTCACATTTAGTTAGTTAACATAATGGGGTGGGGGTGGGGGTGTAATATAATCAATCCTCATACCTCTTTGGATGGCTTTGTGCAGGAGGCTCCAGCCGCTCTGGTCCACCATGTCCACATCGGCTTTGCTATTAACGAGAGTGGTGGCAATACTTTCCAATTTACGAGAGAGCGCCAGGTCAAGGGCCAGGTCACCGTTGTTGTCTACTTCATTCAGCTTGCCGGGTAACTGAAAGTGAGAAATAATGTCATCAGGATCCAAATGCAAAACTGACACCTTTCTTCCACCATGCTGGTTACGGTGGTAAATAAACAGGCGAGTGAGCAGTTGATAGAGAGCTCACCTGAGAGTCCATCTCGATGAGATAAAGAAAGACGACGTCTTCTCGCTCCACTTTGATGGCTTTGTGAAGGGGGAACTCCGTTTTCGATTTGATCATCTTGTACAGGAGTTGGGCACTCATGGTGCTGAAGTCTTCTTTCCTCAGATCATCCTAACACGAGACAATCGTTTGAAAACAACAAACTACTGTCAGAGTCGGACAATCAGTGTTTACACAGGATGGGAAATAAGAATCCCCTATAGATCACTCTCACTCACTATAGATGGAAACGTGATAAATAATGTAAACATGTTTTTTTATTTTATTATAGTAAGATTTTATCAGCCTTTGTGCCAATACATGAGACAAAATGAGGTGTGAGGTATCAGAGAATAGTGACAGGAGTCGATTTCTGCAACAGAGTCGTAAAGATAACCTTGACAGCTGGATTTATTGTCTCATAAAGAAGGAGATGATAAACTCGAGTGAGCAACACAATAACCTTGATCTGTCCAAAAAGAGTTAACTCAGGGAGATGAAGCTGCACATAAACAACACGTTACACAGTCATTTGAGCTGTAATCATGCACACAGATGCACAGCTCCTCCATGCACCTTCAGTACATTTAGTGTTTTCATTTGTTTATATTCTATAATATATGTTTTAATTGCTTGTAAATTTGTATCTGATTCTATTTAAGTTCCCTGTCAGCAGGAGCTCTGCTGTTTTTATAGCTTCTTACGATTTTTGTGTGAGTCCTTTGACAATTACTTTTTGCACCAAAAAGACTGAGTCAAATTCCTTGTATGTGTAAAATGTACTTGGCAATATAATTTTATTATGATTTTAAGATTCAAAAGTTGCATTTTTTTTTTTAAAAGAAAGTCAGAGTTTGGTGCTCATCCTGACTGCTCAAATAGATTGAAGCTACTTTGTGGAGTTATAAGCTGGTAATGATGCCTCTTCATCACCTAACAGAGGAAACTAGAGTCTAGACCATCACAGAGACAACTGATTCTTTCTGTGTAGTATGTATTCATGCTTGTAAAACTGCCCCAGGGTAGAAGTCAGAACCAAAGGATTAACTGCATGCTGCAGAAACACACTTCTTTACCAGAGCCCGACTGATTAGTCGGCCAGCAGATAATATCGCCCGATATCAAGTGACTATTTTATTTCAGATAAATAGATTTATTGACCTGTCAAATAAAATTACATTTGCGGTTCATTGTATTAAACTAGCAGTTCTCTTTCACCAGCAGAGGGCGCTATATGGATTATAACAAGCATCATCACTCTCCAGAGTGTCGAGCGGTGATGCACGTACATGCTCAGTTACTTTCCAGTTGAGTGACCATCTTGTCTTCATTATAAATCTTTTCCACAAGTGTTTGATAACTGACTTTGAGGGCTCAACACAATAAATGTGTATATCTATATCTATCTCTACAGATCGAACATAGATCTAAGAAAGATATTGGCCGATATATCGGTATCTAATTTTTCTCATATTTTTTACACAACAAATATCCTCTGAGTGATTTATTTGACTGATCAAAAGAAGACGCAGGATACTAGCTGACAGGGGAGTAGGTGAGGAATACAGCCTCTGTCTGATTTACTGACCCAGTGACTGGCGATGATCTCCCCACAGTAGTTCATCAGGGTGGTGGCGTTCAGCTCCTCAGCTGTTTGGTAGAAGCGAATGCAGTTTCTAACATTCACTGAGGACATCACACCCTTTTCACACCTATCCCAGCAGAGAAACCAAAGTGTTACCACGTTCTGCTCTTTTGAATATTATGCGACGTTAATTCAGCTACTGAAATTGGAATTTTTATTTCCGCCTTCAGTATGAATAAACGCCTCGTGCTCACCTCTCTCGGAGCAGCTGGAGCTGGAAGCGGTTGGCCAGCTTCATCAGGTCAATAAGAAAGGCGTCATCTTCACTAAGCTCCAACTCGTCTGTGTATGCCCACCGCAACATCGCCATGGCAACCTCAGGTTTGCAGTCTGGAAATCCATCATGACATAAAGACAGGGTGTCAGAGTGAAAACAGTTTAGCTATTGATCAGAAGAAAAAAATAATGTTTGGTCCCCCCGCTGCATTTGGCTTTGTAAATAACAATGACTAAAAAAATAATCAACTTTTTCTAATTAAAACAAATATTTGATTTTTATTTGATTTTTTAGGACATACATTTTCTCACCTTTATACGAACTTGAACCCTAAACGATTATCTTTAAAGAGAAATAGGCCTGAGGGCAGAAACCGACCTCGAGCTGCCCAATACTGGACTTTGACAAAATAAATATCCATTCATCATCTATTAACCTGTTAGCATGTCGACCGACAGAGGAGCAAGTGGGCAACATACTGATTTCCATAATGACCTCAGCTACTTCTTTATTAAACTAGTCAAATCAGGGTGGCTCACCGGTTAGGTCCAGTTCTGAGGTGGAGGCCATGTTGGCCAGGCTCCAGACATCACTACGAGCAGCTAGCACAAACTTATGGGCACTTAGCTTCTGTCCTGCCACTTTCACGTTGAGATCACTGAAACACAAACACATTCCACTCTGAGTAACAAAGTATTTATCACAAATATTCTAAGTCTCTGACAACCTTCTTCAAAAGACATTGCAGACATTTGTAGTCATCCTGTCGACCTTCACCTGTACTGTTCCTGCTGATAGAGGTCGGCCACGATGTCGAGCAGGCGGCTGATGAAGGTGTCTGCAGCGGCTGCAGGGCTGGAGGAGCCCTGGCCGGAGGTCTGGGCAGCGAGCACAGCACAGCGCCTCTCTGTGTCGGCCAGCTTCTGCTGCATCTTCACGTACTCCTGCCTGAGCAGGGCCAGGTGCTTCTGCAGCTTGGCCACCTCCTCTGTCCCACGCCAAGGTACAGGAGACGGGCGGAGGAGAAACAGGATGCAGTGATAGAAAAGTAGTTAGAAAGACAGTTTAGAGTCGCCTCTCAGTTCAAAGAAACAAAGGTGGTCTATGTTAGTTTAAAATAAGTAGCGAGTGTGCTTGGAGGAACACCATAGAGGTTACGCTGTGTGCAACTATAAACACTGAGAAGTGTCACTTGAGCTCTTATTTCCATATGTCACAGAAGTTTGCACTGGAAAGTTTTCTAGTATTCCCTGAAATGGATATAGAAGATAAACATTCCTCAAGCTCAAAAAACAGACTATGGCAGGCTCTGGGTGTTTTTGTTTAGTCAATGCTTTCCCTCTTCCTCTTAGGGACACTTTCGACAGATCTCAGGGAGTTTCATTGAGGCCCATTTCCTTCCTTTAAACCAGTAAAGTTTTACTGAGGAAAGAATGCTGATGCAGCACGTTACTTTGTCCTCTCTCGTAAACCCTCACTGGCAGAGCTACTGGTCATGAGGATCAGATGGGGGGGTGTTTCTGAAAACCACCTGATCTGCTGAACACAGGAAGGGCGGCATGTTGGAGCAGAGCTGCAGCTTAAAGCCCACCAACCGGCCTCTGAAGAAATTCTTAGAATATAACAAAATCCACTTAATGTCCGCAGGATCTAACTGGAATGACGTGTGTGTTTGCAAACCAAAAATGAAGCTTTGGGAAAGTTTGTCCAAAGAGAACTGTGAAATAAAACAGAACGTGTGCACTTAAAAACAATGCTCTATAAACAAAAACAGACCTGTGCATCTTTCTTTTACAGACTCTGTACAGCAATGCAAAGCCGAGAGCACAAGCATTAACCATCTGTCACTGCAAAACAACATAATTACAGAACTGCAAGGGTGATTTTAAATAAAACATTGGCCTTCTCTTTATTTATACAACGAGTGCACTTCAGTAAAAGCTTTGGCAAACACGTGATTTATTCAGAATCGATGGATCAGCTTCATACAGCTGCACCACTGCAGATTCACTGTAGCACTCTGTCTCTGTGTTGGTAAGTAGATTTTCATTAAGGAGGAACACACAGCATATATTTGGCTCACGTCTACGAGGCCAAATATAGGTGGTGCCCTCTGCCAGCCAGGTAATGCCTCACAGGGAGGGACACCTGTGAAGCCTGCTGCCCTGTCATTATCCTCCACTGAAGATAACTGTGTTAACACGGTTTATCATGATGGATCATATAAAGATGCGTGTGGATCAATCAGCCTCAGTGAGGGTTATGTAGACAGTCTGACGCAGACCTGACCGTTCACGTTTAGTTTAACATCACTGCAGACGCTGCCTGCAGTTTTTGTCAACAATAAGGTTATTTCTAACGTAGCAACCCGGCAATCTGCCTCAGTACTAAACTCGTAGCTATAAAAAAAAGAAAAGAAAAGCTAGCAACATCTACGAGGGCTAACGTTGAACGACAGAGCTCACAGTGTGACATTACAAGAGACGCAGCGGGTCATATCTTAAACCACACCCAATGGAAGGTGTTCATAGACTGAAGAGACACTAGTTGATTCGGCCCAACAGTTCAACAAGCAAACGAGGAGAACAGGGAGTGAACCAAATAGTCAAAAAACCAAATCTCATACCTTCCGCCATGTTGCTCAACGTTAGCTCCGTAGCCCAACGGTCTCTATCGCGATATGACGGAGCGGCGGACAGTAGGCGGAGGTGCTGCGTTCAAGTGACTGCCAAAACTCGTTATTTATCATTCGGCTCTTTCCTTCCTCCCCGAAAATAAATCTTTTTAAAAAAAAAAGACATCCTAAAACACGGGGGTTGTATTCATAATAAGCTAGCATAAACTCAGAGGCAGCACGGTGTGAACACTTAAGTCATTCAACGGTTGTCAAACATGCGTTGCCTTCAGGAGCATCTGCCAAACCATAGTGTATCTGCCCAAAAAAACAATACAAAAACGTTAGTAACCTGCTAAGCAGGGGCGTGTCCAGGGCTGGCATGCCCCCCACCCCTTGAAATCTAAATGGCCCTCCCAAAAATCCTAAACTATGACAGGATATTTTCCATGGACTAATGTAAAAACTGACAATATGGGCTGTTATTTAAACCCCTTCAGGTATCTGTGAACCCTAACTTCAATATATATTTTTTATAAAGCTTCAAGTGCAACGTATTACAAATCACAAGCACTGCAGCATCATCTCAGACCAAACAAAACCGTGTCTGATCTTAAACCCTGCATGCCGTTACGTTGTCACTGTAACAGTAGGACTGATAACTCATATTTGTCTGTGTGGGTTACTATTAACAAAATGAGTTTTATTTAGTGACTCCTACAAAAAATAAAGCCTGTGACTGTAAATTTAGTACACTAACATATTAAAACTAGAACGATACTCACTGTGAATACAAACTATTAAACTATTCAAACTGCTTCTCTTAAACTCATCCATGAATGTTAAAGTCTTCAGGCTCCTCAGGTGCTCTGTGACCTTGTGGCTCCGCTTAGATTATCAGGCTCTGTAACACATGGAGCTTCTGATGGAGACTGTGAGGTGACATTTTATAAATCTTCACTTGGGAAGGGCAGCCTTTTCATTTCAGGGGATCACAAGTGAAACGCTTTACCTGTAGAGCTCACACTGGAACCAGACTTGAGTCATTTGAAATGCTTCTTAAAGAGGACTCAGTCTTGTGGTCATGTCTGATCTTGCTCTTTCTGTTTTACATTCTTTTATTGTATGATAGTTTGTATCCTGTACTGTCCTGTCTCTTTATTGTTGAGCTTGTTTGGTTCTGTTGTCTTTTAAAGGCCCATCTAGGGACCAGCGTTGCAAATGAGCTCAGGCTTTAAACGCTGTAGTGTGTGGCGTTTGGTTACTTGCTCCATAGAAAATAAACATGAAATAAAATCATAGAAATGTATGATTTGAACAGAGTAGAACCAAGTAGATCAAGGGGTTAAAATCACAACTCATGAAATGTTGTTTTCACTATTATCTAAATATGTGCATGTCTTTAAATCCTAGAAACACACCAGGTAACCAAAAATACATTTTCTGTGATCATGTGGATACAATAACAGTCTGTTGGGTTATTTTAAGATGCTGGAAAACATCAACGGCCTGAAACAGCATCTTATGAATGTATGCTGAACAGATCCAGTGACAGTGGGGTGGAGGAGGGGTCTCCCTGGGACAGGTTCAGGGACTACATAAAGGTGGATGACAAGTCCAGATCATTTTCAGTCTCATCCCTGATAGGATGGATCTCCATTCAGATGTGTTCTTGATTTGACTCGCCTCTGCTGTGATGAGCATTATTTGTTATAATTATATTTATTTATTCTTCTACTTTTTCCTTGCTGGTCTGCAGCTGCAGCTGAAGTTGTTAATGTTCTCTGGATCTGTGTGCTGAGGTCTGCCTCCATGATTTGTGTAAGGGTTACTGTATCATTGAAACTTAAGTGTGTATATACCATGTATCATGCCTTTAAAAAAAATCAAGAAATAAATCTACAATGAGAACGTCACTCTATGTGTCAAAGAAAGGTTTCTGCTGCCTCGTGCCATCAGGGATTCATGTTACAGCTGAATAAAATACACAGGTAAATATTGAAAAAAGTCATATTTTAGAAGAACTCACTACAGGTGACAGGATTCATAACATGAAAAATATACATCAGTATTTTGTCTTTGTACATTAGGCAAAACTGCAACCGTTCAGTGAGCAGAGGAATCATGAGATTGTGTGTGAGGCGTGTGGGGGGGAGGGGGTGACGAAACAAAATGCGCACACATACTGTTTACACAAACACTCGGACATTTGCAAACAAACTCCGAGAAACTTTCTGCAAAAACAAAAACAAACCAAAAAAATTAAAATAGGACAATAAAGCATGCATAACATTTTCTACTGAGGACAACACAGGAGGAACGGAGGCTGCTAAAAGAAAACTAGAGATGAGGACCTCAAACCGGATCAGGATATCCAAAATTAACATGTGTACACTTTACACTAGAGGAGTTATTGCTACACCAAATTATTACCAAAACCCTAATCATACAGACTGCCTGTGCACTCCCTATTAAATTAATTTATACATAGGTGGCACACAAGTCCTCCATCCTTTTTATTAGGTTTTAAGAATTGTTCAATGCCCTTGTGAAGTGGCCTAGCATCTATTTAGGAGGCACTTTTGAAAAAAAAAAGCACGAAAAATCGGGAAGGTTTCCTGTTTTTAAGTCGACTCTTAACGGGATGCTAAGACTTAAAGACAGAAAACAAAATGTGATGTTCAAAGAGTGTTAGAGAACCTGAAAAGAAAAGAACAGCTGTGTTTTCCAACATGGCGGTATTCCTCAAAAGAAAAAAAACCTTCATCAGTCAGGTCACGTCTGGCTCGAATCAATCAAGTTCTTCACTGCTGACGTCCCTCTGACAACATCCCCTTTCTATGAAGACCTCCTGTTAAAACAACCTAAAGAGAGCTAATGCATGCTGGAGCGGAGAGAGGGGGAAAAAGAACAAAAATATATCTATGTGGAACCAGCGCTATTCATTTGGTCTAAGAGTCCTGATGGATGGAGAGGGAGTTTATATATTATCCGGTTTAGTCTGTTCTATTTACACGTCTTTACAATATCTTCCTGAATGTTGAAGCAGTTCATAGACTTGAGAGATGGGGTTCGTCGTCTTCTGGGATGTTTTCTCTTGTTTTGTTGGAGTTGGCACTTGCTTGGCGGTTTTCTGTCAGCCTTGGTAGTCACTGTTATGTTCTATTGCGGCCTACAGAAGCCAGTCTGTTCCTGCCAGGACAAAGAAGGGCGAACCCGGACGACGGGGTGGAAGAGTGCAGGAAACAGTGCCATGTTGATTTTCAATTGGAGACCTGTCGGAGAGCATAGAACCAATTACACACATGAGGAAGAGGCATGACCAATCACACATGATAAAGAACTACGCTCATTCACATTCATATTGATTCTGTACATGGTGCGTGCGTCATAACCTCTAGGCTGTACGGCGCAACATAGTGGTGCATTAATAATATCCACATCGGTGACTGAGAGGTTGAGCTTCGACTCGAATCAACAGCGGAGAAAAGCTTTGTTCAAAGCACCACAAGCGTCCATTTGTCCACCTTCGATCCTAAAGCACACGTTTCATACAGTGCAGTTCGGACACGGTGTGAGTGAATATACTCACCCTGAAAACTTGAAGCTAGATCGTTGCTAAATATCACTCAAACGCAGTCTCTTGGCTTTTTCGTACACATCGGGCCACTTTCCTCTTGAACGCTCCGTGTCTGTCCTCCCTCCACTCTTTCTGCAGCGGGAGGAATAAAATAAAGATCATGTAGTTTGATGTTTATATCTCTTTGTTGTGCATTTCTCACCGTTAATATTCATCATTTGCTTTAATTATAAGAATAACTAAACCTTATATAATGGTTTAAATGATTAAATCAACACTTGTTATAAAGTTATTCATATTTATTGATCTTTTATTTTGTTAAACAGTTTCTATAGAAGCAATCCAAAACATGATGAAGGGGTTCTTGTTTTAGCTGAAATGTGTAGCTTAAATCAGATTATAATTAAGTCATAAGATCCCCTTTAAATGTTGAACTAAAACAGAATTCCAGTTTTTTTCTACACCATTTCTAATCAACATTACCGCTGCGTCCACGTTGGCTGGCGAGTCCCCGTTTGGGTCTGCGAGCATAGAGATAACACTAATCATGATGGTTTCCACTGTGTGGATCGGCAGCCAGCGCTCCTCGGGCTTCTCGTAGCCGTACTTGTCCTCCCCAGGCTCGTGTAGAATAGAAATACAAACATCTCCATTCTTGTCGACTGGAAATACAAAAACAGAACACGTTGAAGCTCTAGCTGTAGGATGATGGGTTTTAAATGTTTGATTCTTGTACTCTTATCACATATGACATTCAGCAAATCAACTTCACTAATATATCTATATACTGTATATATGGATTTGTGTAGGATTTAGCAAAGGCCTACTTGTGTCTACAGAAGGTGGGTACTCATTAATCGCTCCCTAATCTTCCTTTTTAAAATGACTACATTTCTAGAGTCAACCTGCTGTTTATTTCTAAGGGCTAGCGTCTTTTCCACTTTGTTTTCAATGAGGAGAGAGCGTTTGCAGCAGCAGGCGGCCACCCTTTTTCAGGGTGCTCCGCCTTTTATGTGTGGCTGCTCCGAGCACTTTGAGTTGGAAATCTTTCGACTTACTAAGGCGACGTTAACATCACCGGCGCACTTTTAGGCCGTCTTTACATAAGCCATGATTGTTTGGTACCGTGCCCAAGCCTGATTGGCCCCTCTCCCCAGTCCCCTGATCGTCTGCAATCACGTCATTAGTAACATCGTTATGTCTGAGTACACTTGTGTAAGTACATTGTAGGTTTGCAAGTCTGCCAAAAAGCAGAATGAAGATGAAGCCACCATGGCAACCACTCCAGTGTTTCCCCTACCATTATATAAGGGGGGCGGCCAGCCCCCCCCAACGGCCCCCCCGCCCCCCTTGATGGTAAAGTTCATTTTATTTTCTATATAGCGCCAGATCACAAAACGATACGACAGGATCCGTTTAGAATGACACCACATTGCGGTCCCCTTCCTAGTTTAAGTGCGGCTACGTTCACATCTCCTGCGATCCGTACTCCTCATGTATACATGAATTGTGCCAACGACCACTTCTTCAAGG